GGCAGGTCTGTGTTGGGTGTGAGTCATGGCGGGGGGCGGCTGGGGCCCAGAAGCCCCTCACTAGGCCTGTGCTCTGGGTGAGCGCATTGGTGCCTGGCTCACTGTGCTTTTGCCCTCTGTTCCTGAGATGTGAATTTCCATCTGCTATCTCAATATAAACTAAAATGTAAGTCGGTTCTGTGGATGAGTTTGGAAGCCGAGCTTTGCCAGTCAGTGCTGGCTGTAGTTCTGCTTCCTTCTCTTTGTCCCTAGTTGCCTTTATTGGGAATGCAGTCGGAAAAGACTTCGCAGGGCTTCTAGCTGCCTGCCTGGGTCACCTAATCGGGCCCTAGGAACATCTAGCAAAGGACACTTGGCGCACATAGGTGCCATCAGCTGAGCAGGAGGTCCCTTGTCCTCAGAATTGTCACCCAGACCTGCTTTGTCCTTAGAGCTTCCGACAAGCTTCTGTCTGGACCTGTGTCTCTCGGGTTTACTTACAAGAACAGACTCTTTCCATTGAGACCGTGTGTAAAGTTCTTCCATTCCAACACGGCTTCTCACTGGCTCTCAGGTGATAGCTGAGTGTTTTTCTACGGGACAGAAGTATTTTTGTAATGGCCCTGTGTCTCTGACTAGCCCTGTGGCCCTGAGGTAGACCCGTGCTTTGGACTTGTCTGAGTGTTGGTTAGGGAGAGAGCGCTGCCTGGAGCTGGAGGGCACTCGCTTCATTTATCCTTATGCCTGGTACATGGTATTGGTACTCTAGATGCTAGAAATAGCCATGGGGGGTCTGGGGCTGAGATGGGGGCTCCTGGGGACCCCAGAAGTTGTTTGACAGGCTTCATCTGCAGCAGGCTTGAAAGGCAGTCTGCAGTTGGGCTGCACCGAGAAGGCTCCAAAGGTAAGTTTGTATGTGGCAGAGTGGCGTTTTGGGGGCTGCCCCTTCTCGAGGGCGAGGGAACTTCATTGGAGGTGGGCTGGGTGGCTGATGCTTGCTCTGGGCTCCTTTAACTCAGAAGAGAAGCACAGTGCCATGGTGGAGAGAAGAGCATCTGCCTCTAGCAGGAATTTGCTGGTTTGTTATCAGAGTCGGGGGACGTCTCCCCACTGGATAGCCAAAGCAGTTTTTATTGATAATGTCCTTGAGCAATTTTTGTTTTGCTTTGTAACTATGACTTTTCCTAATTATTTTATTGTAAAATACATTTTAAATTGAGCAGCATTAAATACTTTCACAATGTCGCAGTTCCCACTACCTGTCCGTCCTCAGAATGCTGATGAACATCCGCGTAACTGAGACTGTACTTCTTAGAGGGTAACTCCCCTCCCGCCTCCCCCGGCACCCGGCGACCACCGTTCCTCTCGTCTCTAGGATCGTGACTAAGTACCTCAAAGAAGGGAAACAGTGCCGTATTTGTCCCTTTGCAACTGCTTTACAGTAACACCTCGGTTCACAAATGCTTCCATTTGCAAATAATTTGTCTCAAGAAAAGCATTTGGAGGGGCTGGGGATTTAGCTCGGCGGCAAAGCGCCTGCCTGGCAAGCGCAAAGTCGTGAGTTCAGTTCCCAGTACCGGAGAAAAACCAAAAAAAAAAAAAAAAAAGAAAAGCATTTGGCAAAATTGTGCTTCTGTTTGCAGACTCCACACGGGTGACAATATGACCACAGCCGTCTTCCCCGCACAGATGCAAACGCAGCCATCTTGGCCAAAATCGTAGAACACATTCAATTTGTGAACCAGGTACCACAGTATTTCACTTAACATAACATCCTCAAGGTTTATCTGTGTTATTGCTTACGTCAGAGTTCCTTTATTTTTAAGGGTGAGTAATATTCTATTGCGTGTATCTGCTGCATTTTGCTTACCTATTATTCATCTGTCCACAGTTGTTTCGGTTGCTCCCACATTTTAGCAATTGTGAATGATGCTGCTATGAAGATGGGTGTATAAATAGCACTTTGTTTTTCTGTTTTTAATTCTTTTGGGTATGTACCCTGAAGTGGATTATTCGATCATGTGGTAATTATTTTTAATTTTTTAGGAAGCCACCAAACTCTTTTCCATAGTGGTTGAACAATTTTATATTCCCATCAACTGTGCATAGCCTTCACATCCTTAGCAAGATTTGTTATAGTCTGTATTCTTTTTCTAGTAACCATCCTACTGGGGTTCATCTCATTATAGTTACAATTTGCATTTCCCTAATAATTGGTGATGTTGAGCATCTCTTTATGGGCTGATTGGCTATTTGTATATCTCCTCTGAAGAAATGTCTGTTCAAGTCCTCTGCCCATTTTTGAGTTGGGTTGTTTCTTTCGTTGTTGAATTTTAGGTGTTCCCTATGTTTCTGGATATTATTTCCTTATTAGATATATAACTTGAAAATATGTTTTCCCATTTTGTGGTTTGCTTTTGCTTGCTAATATTGTCTTTTTTTTTTTTTTTGTGTTTTTGAGACAGGGTTTCACTATGCAGTTCAGGCTGGCCTTGAGCTCATTAGGTAGCCCAGGTTGGCCTCGAACTCTTGATGATCCACCTGTCTCAGCCTCCTGAGTGCTGGGATTACAGGTGTGCATCACCACACCTGGCTAATATTGTCTTTTGATGCAAAAAAGTTTAAACTTTTCATGAACTCTAATTTGTCTATTTTTTGTTTTGTTGCTTTTGCTTTTGGTGTTATATCTAACAAATCACTGATAAATACAATGTCATGAAGATTTTGCCCTGTGCTTTATTCTGAGAGCTTTGTATATTTAGTCTTATGTTTAAGTCTTTGGTCCCTTTTGAATTAATTTTTGTAGATGGTATTTGATAGGGATTAACTTCATTCTTTTTAGGAGGGTATCCAGAATCAAACTCATGACTTCATGCTTACTTATTCTTTTGTATGTGGACATCCAATTCTCCCAGCCCTATTTGTGGAAAAGACTTTCCTGTTCCTATTGAATGATCTAGGTAACCCGGTCAAAAATCATTTGCCTACACATGTGAAGGCTTATTTCTGTACTTTCTTTTCTATTCCATTACTTTACTTGTCTGTTTTTATGCCAAATATCATATTATATTGATTATTGTAGCTTTGTAGTTTTGAAATCAAGAAGCATTGATTTTTTCAGTTTTGTTCTTTTTAAAGATTGTTTTGGCTAGTTGGGAGGGGTCCTTTCAAATTCCATGTGAATTTTTGGGTGTGTTTTTCTATGTCTACAAAAGATGTCTTTGGGATTTTGATAGAGACTACTGAATCTACAGATCACTTCGGGTAGTACTGACATCTTAATCTTTCAGTTTTTCAATCCATGAAGATAGAATATTTCCACTTATTTATATCTTCATTAATTTCAGCAGTCTTTCATAGTTTTCATTATATAAGTCTTTCACATCCTTGGTAATATCTAAGTATTTGATTCTTTTTGATGCTATTTTAAATGAAGTTATTTTTATAAATTCCTTTTCAGACTGGTCTGTGTTAATATGTAGAAATGCAACTGATTTTGTATATGCTGACTTTGTGTCCTGCTACTTTACTGAGTGCATGTATTAATTCTAAGGGTTTTATGTGGAATATTTAGGTTTTCTACATGTAAGATCATATTCTCTATGAATAGAGATAATTTTACTTTTCTAATTTGGATGCCTTTTATTTCTTTTTCCTACTTAATTGCTCTGGCGAGAACTTCTGGTACTGTGTTGAATAGAGATGATGAAAGGGAGCATCCTTGCTTTATTCCTGATGTTGGGGGAAAAGTTTTCAGTCTTTCACCATTGAATATGATGTTTGCCGTGGAGTTTTTATATGTGGTTTTATTATATTGAGGTAGCTTCCTTCCATTCCTAATTTGTTGAATTTTGCAAAAGTATTATTGGAAACATTTCTTTTTATTATCAGGTGTTCAAATTACTTTTTAGGGACTCAATTCTTTGGCTACTTTTTAAAAGAACTACAGACAGCAACACTCAGCTTCCCTGCCTTTCTCCTATATTTAGGGAAACGATATTTCTCTGAACCCAGTGTTCTGCCTGGCTGGGCTTTTATGGCCAGATGTCTGGGTTAGATATCAATATTTTTCTACCTTTTTGCTCTCCATAACATACTACCTTTGCTTTGTTTTTGGTGTAATCACTCCACAGGGAGTAAAAATCAAATTTGAAAAAAAAAAAGTACAGTATTCAAATATCTGCAGAGGTTGTAGTTTTGGCCAATATACATGAAACTTTTTGGAACTTAGAGAGATAAAGTATCTTTTTAGCAGACCAGCCTGGGGATTTTAATGACCTTGGACTTCAGTACCCTACCTCACTCTTCTGAACTTGCTCTTGCCAAGTCCTGGAAGGGTCATTCTGTGAAACAAATGACTATTAGTGGTGAATTTTCTTGGCCTTGATATGGTTGCGGATGGAGGAAAGAATATTTAAGCATCATTATCAAGCTGTAGGTTTCTCCCTTCACTTTTCCTGTCCCCTCAGAAATGCAAGCTCTTTCATTTCTCCCCCTTACTTTTACCCTAGTAGCTATTTGTCTCCATTTCCTATGGGTTAGAAATATAAATGCTAGACATGTACTCAGTTTAACAAAATCCTACCACAATAAAATAGTTTAGCTGTCCTTAGAGTTGTTATAATGGAATTTTACTTGTATTGAGGTGGCTGGGGAGAAAAATAAAATGATTATAAGGAGGAATGTAATATGGCAGCCAGGGAGGAAGCAGATGGCTTGCTCTCGCTCCCTGACTTGGAAAACGTATCACTTATTTCTTTTGCTTGCAGTTGGGTCTCAGGATTATATTCTTTCCTGGAAAAGAGGTTTTTAGATTTTTTCCTAGTTAAAATTCTAGACAGAGACGGAAAGAGTACAAGGAGCTAATTATCTTTTGTTGGTTTAAAAATGAAGTCGGATAATCCAGAAGCTCGCTTTGGGAGAGACCAGTATCTTTTAGAACCCAGAGAAAGAAGAGACAATCATGTTCCTGAGGGCGGGTGGGGCAGAGATGTCTGCAAGATACCAAGCACTCTCAGACGTTGCTGTGCTCCTGTCTTTATTGTAGAGTTTGGGCTAGGGTGGCGGGGAGTTTCAAGGCTTTCCTCTGCTTGAAGTGGACCAAACTTAGGAAAATGTTAGCATCTTGCAAAATCAGCTGGGACCTTGGTATATTCCTGGAAGAGCTGATCCAAGTCAAGAATGACGGGAACTCACTGTCCTCTGAAAACTTGCACAGAAATGATGCTCAGGGAAGGATGCTGATTCTAGCAATAGGAGGAACCTGAGGAACAGGGAGGAAGTGAGAGTTTGTTTGGAGGAGAAGTTAATAATGTGGTTCCCCAAGGACTGGCCTCGTGGCCAGGCAGCTCTGCTGCAGAGCGATGTCTTCCCTCCTGAGTAACATTTTGTTTAGAAGTGGTAGGAAAAGTAGCTGTGGATGAAGGCTGAGTGGGGGTGGGTTTTCAGAACTGGAGAATGATGCCTCTTCTCCCTTTGCCTACATTTCCAAAACAATACTGGCTCAGGGGAGGGGATGGACCTGAGATATGAGCTCCTAGGGCATCAACATTCTTCGATCAGAATGGGCTTTAATTTGTTTTCTTCCCCTACAGGTGTGGACACAATGATCATTGGTCTGGGGTAGCTAAGTCAATGACTTGAGGTCCTGACTGACCTGTTCTCTTCCTCTGTGAATTCCTGATCCAGTGATCTTTGAAAAATAATATCACACTTTTTTTGGCACACGGGACTGGAAAGGGGGACATCGCAGTAACAAAAGACATGGCAGACGTACCTGAGCACTGGGGCATTCCAGCATACTTGGTGATGTCCATCCTCTGGCCTGTGTCCTGGGATGGGTCCCTCCAGCCCAACGCAGCATACACTTTACCCCTTTGTGTAGGCTCCACTTTGCTCGGGCCTAGGGCTCTGCATAGCCTTGTGCCCCCTGCTTTCATTTTCTTTTCTTCTATCTCACTCTTTAGCTTCTTGTTTTCCTGCTGCAGATGGACCATCACGTTGTGGAGGTGGCTGTGAAGAGGGAAGGCTGGGGTTTGGTATGCTTGATCTGCTTGACTCCCTGCTGGGAAGAACTGACAAAGGTGTCAGAGGGAAGGGGCGTGGCTGCGCAGTTCCTTTCGGAGCTGGGTTCTGATGCTGCATGGAAATGGAGGCCTGTGTGTACATCCTGGGAAACCCTGTCAGCTCTGGACCTGTGCTCGTATCTGTTGGATGGGGACAGTCAAGCCTGACCTGAGTACTGGAGTGCAGGGAGCATAGGGACCTTGGTTCTGTTGAGAACTTGGGCAAATTTGTTTCTTTTTTGTGGTCCTGGAGATTGAGCCCAGAGCTTTGCACTTGCTAAGCAATTGCTCTACCATGGAACGACATCCCCAGCCCTTTTATTCTTTTCATTTTGACACAGGGTTTCACTAAGTTGCCCAGGCTGGTCTTGAGCTTACGATTCTCCTGACTCAGACTCCTGAGTAGCTTATTATTTCCATTTTAAAGATGGGGAAATAGAGGCTGCCATGTAGGTGAAGAGAAAGAGAAAATTTAGCCTTTCTGCCATGGCTCAGTGAATGGCCGCTATTATTAGTAGTCTTACTTCTCCAAACTAATGTTGATAGCAGTGGGCTCTGAAATAGGACTTCTGGAATAGGTGACAGTGGGACAAATAGGACAAATAGGTGACAAATAGGACTTCCGGAATAGGACTTCCGGAATAGGACTTCCGGAATAGGTGACAGTGAGCTCTGAAATAGGACTTCCGGAATTGGAGTTCTGGCCCTGCCACTTACTAGCTGTGAGAGCAGGGGCAAGTTCGTTAGCCCCTGGTTCCTCATCTGTAAATGGCATCTGTATCTGCAGACAGCCCCTGACTTAACACGGTTCAGCTTCACAGTGGTGGGAAAATGATACACACTCCGTAGAAACAGCGCTTTGGATTTTTTCCCCAACTAATGCTATGGAGTAGGCTCCTCTTTCGAGGCGTTGGGCAGTGGCAGTGAGTCGCAGTACCCGATAAACCACAGGATCACGAAGGGAAACTCCTGCTACTCTACAGGGCACCGGGTGCTAAGCTGTGACGTTTGGTAGCTGAGGTGCACTAACGCCATTCCTGATGCCATTTAATTTAATATTTTCTGGGGTATCCCAGAATACCCCATCTTAAGTCAAGGAACATCTGTATGTTTAACAGATAAGGTCTTAGGGAGATTAATGTAGGTAAAGCACTTAGAACATGCTAAACAATAAATGAGTTGAGCTATTACTATTATCATTAAAATATGGTGGCTGAATGTGGTGGTGCATGGCTATAGTTTCAGCACTCTGGGAGGCTGAGGCAGGAGGAATGCAAGTTTGGCCCAGCCTAGGTAACTTAGTGAATTTATCTATCTATCTATCTATCTATTTATCTATCATCATCTATCTATCTATCATCTATCTATAATATTAAAAGTGACTTAGTCACTTAATTATAAGATATTAAATAAAGGGCTGGAGCTGGATGTGGTGGCGCATGGCTGTAATCCTAGTGCTTGGGAGGCTGAGGCTGGAGAATAGTTGTGAGTTCGAGGCCAGCCTGGGCTACAAAGTGAGCTCAAGGCCAGCCTGAACAGCATAGCGAGACGCTGTCTCAAAACAAAACAAAACAAAAATGAAAAAGGTTTGGAATTTAGCTCAGTGTGAAGGACGTGGGTTCAATCTCTAGTACCTAAAACAAAATAAAAACACAAAATAAGATTTCCTTCAAGTAGGATCAAGCAAAACCCAAAAACGAGTTCTTTGTGAAACAACTTTCTGGAAGTTGGCACAGTATAAGAAAAATTATCTGGTACTTCACAGGTTAACTTTTAGTTAATCTCCTTGAAAAATGTTCTTTTGTCCAGTGGAAAATGTCCCATTCCTTTCAGGAGGAAAACAAAGGAATGGATCCTCAACCTCTTCTCTGGGTATATGTGTCACTCCCTTGTTCTTCACAAACCCGGCCAGCTCTGAACACACCTCTTCCCCCATGGTCCCTTCCTCCACGTGCCACGGGGCTGGAGGTGGGGATCTGGCACTGCCCTCAGTCCTGGCTCTCTCATGTCAGCATTCCTGATACCCTGAGTATCCCATTCTGCCCAAGCAAGCCCTGGCGTCTGGGTCCTTGACCCACTTGTGGTGGTGCGAGCGTCCCCTTCAGTCTACCTTACCTAAGGTCAAAGCTGGTGAGAGAACTTTGCAACTGGGAGCCACAAGTGGGTTTCACAAGTGCAAAGATGCGGATGCCTTCAGCCCTTGGAGCAGGGTTTGGGGCAGCTGCTTCTTGGTCAAGCAAGCCCATCCCAGACTGTCCTTGTGTGCCAAGCACATGTGGCCATTTGCTAAGCGTTCTCTGACAAAAGCTTGGGAGCTCTGTCCTAGGGCTTATCCTCATCAGTTCCTTCACAGCCCAAGTCTCCATATCTCAGGTATTTGACCTGTTATGGCTTGGGTCTAGATGTCCCCCGCAAAGCCTCATGTGGGCATAGGTGAGGCTATTCACAGGTGGCCGGGTCTGGAGTGTGTGACGCTGGGATCAAAGGTGTGTGACTGCTAAATGAGGCCACGGATTGATTTGGCAGAGCTCTGGGTAGGACTAAGGGTGCCCACTCCGGTTGTGAGTGCCATCACCCTAGGGATGGGAAGCCTAGACAAGATATGCGGGACAGAAAGAGGGTCTCTGCTTGCTTGCCACTTGCCACTTGCTGCTTTTGCTGTCTTCTGCCTGCCATGAACTATTTCTCCTCTGCGATGGCCCTCTGCCGGACCACCCTGCTGTGGAGCCAGCTGATTGTGGACTGAAATCTCTATAAACTGTGAGCTGAATAAACCTCTCTCCTTTAACACTGGGTATCAGGTATTTTGTCTCAGCAATGAGAAAAAGTAGTGAAGACAATTCCTTCATCTCTATTCCTCAGCGTCCCATCCTCTTCCCACTTCACTCTCTCCATGGACCCAGCTTTGACCACGTAGGTGAGACAAGATTTAGAGAAGGCTGCAGCCATAGGTACAAGGGACACAGGTATCCAGGAGGAGGGGGAATCCCGGTCCTGGACTTCTCACCTCAGACTCCTCCATGAAAGGTTGTTCTTCCTATGTGCCTTTGTGTGGGGATCTCTGCTACCGCAGCTTCATGCTGCCCTGGCTAGTCCTAGTCCCGCCTGCCTCGTGGTGCCTGCCCACCTCTCCACAGTCCCCGCTGGGAGCCACAGTTGGGAGGAGGGAGTGTGGAGGTTGTTAAACTCCGTTTGTACTTCTAGGGAGGGAATTTAGGCCTAGTAAGTGCACACACGGTGCCCACTGTCACACAGATGTAGATCCAGGGCTTCAGCATCCATCCAATGCACTAGGCCTTTCCCCACCCTGGGGTCTGACCACATATTGAGTGATAAAGCTATCCCAGGCTCATTGGGTCCCAGGCGGCAGCCGGGAGGGGGCGGGATGGCTTACTCCTTTTCACCAGTCAGCTTGGCGATGTATTTGACCTGTTCACGGAGCTTATTTCCCAGCTTCTCATTGGCAATCCTGTAACAGAATCCAGAGAAGAGTGACTGGTTCTGCAAAGTCCTGTGAGCAAGGGGGGCGCTCCCTGGCTGGATGCGACCCTCGGTGTTCGGAGCAAGGTGGATCCCAGATCCACACGCTTCCACCACCCTGTCCCAGAGTTGGAGGCTTCCTAGCCCCTGGGCTCTGTACTTGACTGCTTGTAAAATCACTGAGTTCATGGAAATGAGTTCAAGAGATCCGGGTGAAACTAAATCCCAAGTTGGGAGGAGGAAACTCAACCTCACAGAAGCGCCCCTTCCATCTCAGTGCCGCTCTATCCCACGTCACGGGACGTTCCAAACCCACCGGGAGGGTCGGGCCCTCTCCCTCGAGTTCTCAGCCCTTGGGTGTCGGCTGTGACTGGATCAGTTTTGTAGGAGTGCAGGTGTGTGCGTGTGTGTGTGTGTGTGCGCACGTGCGCGCGCGTGTGTGTGTGTGTGCGTGAGACTCATCACTGGCACAAGTGTGGTTCCTCGCCTCAGCCCAGGCTGTGGAACCTGCCTTGTTACTTACTTTTGCTCTTTTGCCCACTGCTCCATGTTGCACATAATCTGATCATTGTCTCGGTGGATTCTACAGGGGTCCTTGGGGCTGGGCCGTCGGGACAGGCAGCAGGGCTTTCATATAAGAAAAAATTGAGGCAGTCAGGATGTGGGAGCACAGACCTGTCCCCTCTCTCTTCCCAAATTAGACTTTTTCTGTCTTCCTGGGAGAAGGAAAACCTGCTCTGCTGTTCAACCCAAAGCCAGAGCGTCCACACCAGCGCCTGTCCCTCTGCCACACAGGTTGTGCCCACACACAGGTGGTGTCTCTGACGTGGCACGATTTATGGCAGAGACGCAGCAAATTTGTACATTTACAATCATGATTTTCAGGCCAAAGGCATTAAATGACTTGTTCTCAAAAAGGATGCTAAGCTATTTTTTTTTAAAAAGAGGTACAAGAAAAAATATCTGGAGGAAGAGACGGCTTCTTCTCACTTGAAGAAAGGCCCTAGGGTCACTCTGAGATGTCCTGAGGCCTCCTGCCATGGACACACTGCTCAGGGAGCTGCATGGGGGGGGGCCTGTTCACGTGATTGAGCTTTCAGCAAAGACAAAGGGGGGGAGAGTGGTCATCACAGCCCTCTGGCCCTTTCCCTTTACCCAGTTCTACCCCAGGGTCTGGGGCTACTGAACACATCAGGATGAACTGCAGGTGCTTCCCAGCGGGTTGTCTGAGTCAGGGTGGCTGGCGTACCCTGCAGTCGCTTCTCTGGGGCCTTTGTTTTGATCAGTGTATTTCTATCAACAAAACCACAAGCGTAGAGACAGGCTGAGACAGCGGCGGTGGCCCAGGAGTACCGGCCCCTGGCTCCTGTTGGAGCGATGGGCTGTCCTTCCCTTACTCCCAGCACCGTGACTCCACAAGGGCAGCCTGGCACGTGGGTGGCCATGGATTGTGCCAGGAGGGATCACGAGGAAGCAACAGCAGTGCCCACCTCCTTCTCATCCGCCAGGAGGTTCTCTTTCAGGGTGGCCATTTCCTCCTGGAACTCCCTGAGCTGAGTCTCTTTCGCTGCCAGCATCTTGAGGTCATTCTGGTGCTGCTTCTGCCACTGCATCACCTGGTTGCTCATCTCCTCTAGCTTCTTGTCAAAGGCGTGCACCTGCTCGGGAGCGCAAAGTGAGGAGGGTGAGTCTGGAGGGCACCACCATAAGGACAAAGGGGTGCTTTCTCAAGCTTGGACTTCTCGGGGGTATTTTATTCCCAGTGGCCAGCAGAGGGCACCCCTGCTCTGATCTTTGCCGCTGCTGTCTGACGTTTGAGGAGTCAGGAAAGTGAAGGGAACCCATTCGCCAAAGGGTATGGCTTAGCGCTAAATAATTCTGGATACAAAGGGTGACCTCGGGAACCCCCAACAGGAAAGCAGCTCGAGCCCCTGGCTTCTCCTCACCTCTATCTCACTCTCCTTGTGGAAGCCTTGCAATTTTCTTAATTCCACATTGAGCTTTTTCATTCTGTCCTCATAAGCAACAATTTCATCTTCCAGCTGAGCTTTCCTCTCTTGGGTCTGTAGCAGGTTTCGCTGCAGGCTCTTTGTCTCCGCGGTCGCGTGATTGAGCTTTCAGCAAAGACAAAGGGGGTGAGAGTGGTCATCACAGCCCTCTGGCCCTTTCCCTTTGGTCCTGGATGGAGAAGGCTTCCATCCCCGCTGTGCTGTGCCCCAGGGGTGCATAGTCACCTGCCTAGGGTTCCAGAGAAGGGCGGGAAGTGACAGTTTGTTTTCTGCAGCTTTCCATTCCCCGCCCCATTTCTTATTTTCCAAGCACAAGGATGGGATGGGAATGTCCTTGACAGCCCAGGCTCTGGTGAAACCTTGCCCCCATGTGACTTGGAAAGATTTGTTAGATTTGGCCTCCACCTTTGCCTATTATCCCCAACCCAGTTCCTAAAAAGCCTCACTAAGAAGAGGCAGGCCTTCTGTGGACAGATACCCCAGCCCAGGTAAGGGTTTGCGACGCCTTGGAGATAGGCAGTCGTGCAGGAAACTGGCTCATGCAACTCTCACATCCCTCTCTTTTCTGTCTGAAAGCTACCTGGGAGTTCCGAGGGTGTGGCCTCACCTTCTCCAGGGTTTGTGTCAGGTCATCTTGGCAGGCAGCTGACTTTCTGCATAGGTCTTCATAGAGTTCTTTAGCGACCATGGTCTGGAGGTAATGCTTCTCTTTTTGCACAGACTGTTCTAGCTTGGTTTGCAGGCTCATTATGGACTCCTTCTGCTGGCTTATCTTTAGGGAGCGAGAATATTGCTCACTGTCAGGATCCCGGCTTCTGGCCCCAAAATACTCTCTGTGACTATAGGAAGTAGATAAGAGCTGGGCTCTCTGGTCTCCACAAGAACCTTCAGAGCAGGCTGTACTAATGCACACATCTTTACATCACTGCTGTGAATGTAGAGCTGTCTTTCTAGGATTTCTTGCATCCCTCCACCCACCTTTCCTCTTTTAGTTAGCACACCCTCCAAATATAGGAAGAATGGGAAGTGCTAGGGCATGATATGCCAACTACACAGAAAATCCCTCTCAGATTCTGTGGCTTTTGGTTTAGATTTGGAATGCAATTCTAGGTTACTGGACAGAGTGTTTCATTTGTGTTTTATGCGTTTCCTAGTTCATGACACAATCCACTAGACTGGATGCTCCACGGAAGTGGGACTAGGTGTGTGTTTTGTTCACTGCTGTTCCCCTATTGCTATGGCTCAGAGCATGGAACATAATAAGTGTGTGATAAATACTACATCAATTTTAAAAGACTGCTTGAATGAAATATTGCATTGCTTGGAGTTAAAGATCTAAATATTATTGAAATTAGAGATCAATTGAACACATAGTTCTAGCAGATGTTTGTTTGAAAACAACTTTGCAACTTAAATTTAGGTAGGTATTCATAGTATACTTAAAAGACAGTAGAGATCTGAGATTAGGGGATCTGGGCTTAGGTCAGGCTCTGTCATTTATTTATTTCTTGGGCTTCAATTTCTGCTTCCACAAATTGGGATACAGTAATTTCAACTGTTTATACAGTTTTTGTGATGACCAAATGAGACGAATAGGGCTTTGTAAGATGTCAGTTGTATGTGGCTGAGTTATTATTATGAACGCGGGGACCCATCTTATATGCTTTAAGTCCAGGGCACAGATTTGTTCCAGATTAAGTCTGGACAAGGAGAAATCTTGAAAAGTCTCATGTCAGACTTCTGTTCTTTGGAATTCTAGTATGCCTGCATCCTACTCTGGCCTTGCACACAGTAGCTCACTCCTTTGAGTTTTCTTGCTTTATATCCAGTAACTGCTTAGTGCGGAATGAACATATTACTTTTTCAGGTGAATGTTGAAGATCTTCAACCCTAGGAATTAGTGAGACGAAAAGTGTTAAATTGGACTGTTAACCCTTTACTTTACATGCCCAAGTGGTGAAATAATTCCTAAGCATGAAATACTTTGTTCTTCTGAAAACAAAGTTTTTTTCTAGGGATTTCTGAACTAAAGTAAAGCAAAGCAAAGCAAAGCAAAGCAAAGCAAAGCAAAGGAAAGGAAAGCAAAGCAAAGCAAAGCAAAGCAAAGCAAAGCAAAGCAAAGCAAAGCAAAGCAAAGCAAAGCAAAGCAAGCAAAGCAAACTGGAATCAGCTGGGTCTGCCCAGTAACCCAAGGGTGTCACTGGAGAAACTACAGTCATTGTAAGTGCTTGATAAATGGTGACTGAAGTGAGCAATGTCACCGTGGAGGGGGTTTACAAAAAAAAAAAAGAAAAAAAAGCAACACAATGATGCTAGAAGCTAAAATGGAAACTTTATTTTAAATTTTGCTAACATAAATGATTTTGGTTAGAAAAACATGCTGAAGAATCTAGGTGGATGGAAATTACAGAATCCAGGAGTTCCAATGGAAGTTCTCATAAACATCCACTCTTAGCCTGGTGTGGTGGTGCATGCCTATAGTCCCGGTATCTGGGACCCTGGGGCAGCAGGATCATGAATTCAAGGCCAGCCTCGGCTACATAGTGACATCTGTCTCAAGAACAGCAAACAAACAAACCAACAAACAAAGATCTACTTGCTCTCTGTGAAAGTATTAGGTTCAGACGGTTTCATAAGAGAATTCCACTAAGCCATTCTGGATTCCTCACTGTCAGTCATTCCATCAGTTAATCTGATCAATTCTGCCTCTAAATTTTCTCTATGCCACTCTAGCTAGGATAGCAGGAGCTTCCTAACTGCTCTTTGCTTCCATACCTGTTCCTCTCCTAATCCACTTCCACACATTAGTCAGAGTTATATTTTGAAAATTTAAATAAGATTAAATCACTTCTCTTGTTCCTTTGAGGAAATGCTATCAACAGCTTTCCGTTGCTCTTAGACTAACAGCCCAAATTTCTTCAAAGAGGCCGTAACATCTGCCTTTGCCCATCTTCCTAGTCTTATCCTATTCCAGTGCCTCCTTTGATCAGTACACTCCAGTCATACTGGCCTTATTTTACTTTCCTGAGTGTGCCAAGTGTGCATTAAAAGATCGACACATGAAATCTCCAGTAAAACATGTGCACGCACACATATGGACAGATCAATACATGCTACACAATCAGGACTCATATTAGAAATGTAAGAATGGGCCCAAATTAGGATTAATTAATTTTATTCATTGCATCACTGATTTAAGGAGAAAGATGATATAATAGTCTTGATGATTTTTAAAAAGCACTTAATAAAATTCAACACCCACGTGGACAAAACCCTTAGTAACTGAAGAACAGAGGAAACTTGATAAAGGAGACCAACAGGAAACCTTCAAGGAACATCATACTGAAACAGACACATTCTGTCAGGAGCAAGAAAAGGTGCTCACTAGCACTCCTGCTACTAAACATCATATTGAAGGTGCAGTCCTATGCAACAAGATAAGAAAAATAAAATATATATAAATATTACAGAGAAATAGAAAACTCTTGTTGCTTGAAAATGATGTAATTATCTACTTAAAATCCATAAGAATCAACTGAAAATCTATTATAACTTACAAGTGAGTTTTAATAAGAGAGCCAAACTAGGATATATAAATGAATGAGATTTTCTATTATTAACAGTAATAACATACAAAATAGAGTACAAAAATATACTAGAATAAGATAAATGGAGAATCTCAAGATAGATTGCCTTGTTTTTGGGTGAGAAGTTTAAAAAGAACAATGTGGAAAATTGATTAAAGGAAGTACATTTCAGTAAGTAAAAGTAAGTTCATTTCTTTCTTTTTTTTTTTTTTCCCTGTGGTACCTGGGATTGAACACAGGGCCTTCCCACTGAGCTACATCCTCCTCTCCCTTCTCCCTCTTTTTTTTTTTTTTTTTTTTGTTACCAGGAATTGAACTCAAGACCTTGCATTTGCCAGGCAGGCGCTTATGCCACGGAGCTATAACCCCGGCCCCTCCCTCCTTTTCTGAGATATGGTCTCAATAAATTGCTAAGCTGTTCAGGTTGGGCTTGAACTTTCAATCCTTCCTCAGCCTCCCAGATCACTGGGATTATAGGTGTGAACCATTACACTTAGGTGAAACTAAGCCTATTTCTTTTTTTTTTTTTTTATCTTTTTGAGACAGGGTCTCGCTGTGCAGTTCAGGCTGGCCTTGAGCTCACTTTGTAGCCCAGGCTGGTCTCAAACTCACAATGATCCTCCTGCCTCAGCCTCCTGAGTGCTGGGATTACCGGCGTGCACCATCACGCCTGGCTTCTAAGACTATTTCTATTTTGATTGATTCACTATGCTTACTATTTGTAGGGTATCCTTTTAAGAAGATTGAACATGCTTACACATTAAAAAAAAGTTCAGTGGGCCCTTGCCAGCTGGGTTCTTTCCAGGGTGAGTGCCTGACGCAGTGTGACAAGGTTATCTACCACGGTGGACAGCAGTGCTTGCTGAGACCAGCCGAGTTCTTGACGCGGACAGCATGGGAGTGGAATATGCATAACTTTTCCCAAGGACTCTAGTCTTTTGCTTCTGCTTTTTGCTGTTTACCTTAGAGCCCTATAAAACCAGTGGCTTAGCCAAGGGAGGTTAGTGACGTAGGTATGTTGCAGCACACAAGTACCTAAATCACACCTAATAAACTCATTTACCCACCAAGCTGGACTGGACCGAGTCATTCTTTGGTCCGTCAAGCCTTTTCAGTTCACAGGCAGATGTTTCTTTTACCTCTGTCCTGGAAACTTATGGAACGCCAGGTATGAAATAAAACCTTCCACATAGGAAAGAAACATTTCTTTGGCTCTGAAGCCAGGTCCTGAGGGTCACCCTCCACCCAAAGGAGAGAGGTGGAGCTGCAGGTGCCATCAGATGCAGTTGGCTGAACCACTTAGTTGCTCTGCTGGGGTGGAGGAGACACAGGTAACAGATTTCAAGCCAATTGTCACAGGGTTCAAGTTCATCACCCCTTGGGGGAGTTCCTAGCTACTTACCTGGATGTTCAGCTCTTGAATGACTTGCTGGCTAGCATTGTATTTGCTGACAGTGGCTTCCAGTTGCGTAGAATAATGCACCAACTCTTCGCGGAGATTCTCCTTTTCCCCTTCTAGCTTTCTCAGATTCTCTTTGAACTGCTCTCCCATGAAAGAGCAAAGCCCGAGAAAGAGTTGTTAACCTCAGACTGCTGTCAACCTCAGACTCCCTGCCTCCCTCCTTTCTTCCCTGCCACAGTGCCTCGCTACACCGTGGTGTCCTCGGCCTCCTTGTTCCCCTACTCCCTAGACTTTTCCTTCCCTCCTTCCGCTCCTGGGCTCTGAGCATCCCTGGCTTCCGCATCCCTCCTGGCCCAGCTAAGTCCATGCCTGGCTCTGGATTCACCATCGAGGTCTTCCAAGATTCTCCTCACCATCTTCTCCTTCTTTTTTTCTTCCTGTCGAAGAGTCTCAAGTTCCTCCTCCAGCAGCTTCTCCTGTTCTTTGCTCTTTTTCAGCTGGTATTTTTTCTCCTCCAGTAACCTCTTGACCTCCTGAAGCTCATCTTCTAGCTTGCTTTTGGCAGCTAGTACGTCCCTGTACTGGGAAAATAAAGACTGGGATGGTAGCAACCTTACACTGTGTTATATTTTGGAAAAGAAATCTAGACGGTTGCACCCAGGGAAAGGCTGAAGTAAGTATGAGGATAATTTCTTAATTCTCTGGTATGAGTAATAAAAAGTTTGCTCTGATATTCTGCAACACTTTTTCTTTGTTTAATTAGACCAACTTATTTTATTTATGGATCCAATTCCCACAGAATAAGCCTTTCTCTCCCTCTTACCAAACCTTTTGACACAAAATCTCTTGGAATAAAGTTTGAAGCAATCTTAGAAAAGCACAGGAAGAATATTTCAGAGATCAAAGACTTGAAATTGACCGACAAAGATAGCTTTTGAATCCCTGAATGAGACATGTGTCCTTTGATTATGAGTGTGTTTAACTCTTGAAAATGCTTACTTCTGGATATGGGAGGTGTTGCAGAGCGGCTGGTGTAGTCACTCTGCAAATCCTGGACAGTCGGTCTGCACGGACTGCATGGACATCTTCCCAAATAAAGACCAATACGTCTGATTTAGGTAGAGTGGGTGCCACATCCAGCTGCCTACTTGCCCTGCATACCTGGTGCTGAAGGCTTCTGGTCTGATCTTGCAGTTCATTCACTTTCACTTCCTCGTTGGCCAGTGCCTTCTGAAGCTGCTTCTTTTCCTTGTCTGCATTTTCCAACTTCTTTAGGCCCTCAGCGACTTTTGAGCTTAGCTCTTCCACCTGTTTCCTAAAGCAAAGCGGCGAGAGGAAGATGGCCAAGTGGAGCTGGCCCCTCGGGGACTCGCTGCTTTTCCTCCCCTGGCAGCTGCCCGCAATGGTCCCGGCTGGCTCTCAGGGTCAGGGGCTCTCTCTGGAGGCGAGCCAGGGTACCTGCTTCTGTGTAGCTCTTCTTTTGTCAGCAACAACTCCTTCTGCAGCCTCTCCAGCTCTCTTTGCTGCTCCTCAATGGTGTCTGCTTTCTGCTTGTCTTGGAAAATGCAGCTCTGCAGTCTCTTCTCAGTGTCCTCCAGTTTACACTCTGCCAGCCCGGCCTTTTCCTTATATTGTGCGGCTTGCTGAGCTGCAGAAGCCAGGAGACAAGCTGGGACATGTCTATGTGCGAGGGAGCAGGTATGAAGGTGGGATTCTCAAGTAAACCGGCTAAAGAGTCTGTCCTTTCATTGTGTGAGCTACTTCAATTCCCCAATCTGCCTTCACTTCATTTCATATTAGTTCTAAGGAGCTCTGTTAATGATCTGTTCTTAAATACCTTCTAGCCATGGATTTCTTCTTGACTAAAAGTAAACAGATTGGGAGAAATTACTCAGTACCTCCTCCTGTGTGACTGATCATTAGGGACAAGCCCTGACCCTCACAGAGTTTAGCATCTGGTGGGGGAACTATAACTAGTGCCCTCTCGTAGAGAAAATGGAATGGTATTTATGTTTATTTTTATGCTGAGACTGAACGCAGGGCCTTGCACATGCTGAATACCTGTTCTACCCCTGAGCTGCACCCCTAGCCTGAGAATGCAGGAGTGTTAAATTCACATCGATGGTGGACTCAGGAAGAGAGATCCAAGGGGTCAGGACAGTTGGAGATGGACTTGTGGAAGGATAGAAGTTGAGCCTTTGAGGAAGGAATAGGAGAGAGTTTCAGGTGGGCGACTGTAAGAACAAATGTATGGGGAAGGGAAGGGAGAAGGAGTGCAGAACAGGAAGAGGCTAATTTGATTGGAAGGGAAGATGGAAGGGATAAAGGGCTAAAGATTCCAACAGGCTAAAGAGTCAGTATCTGGGGGGACGAGGGAGGGCTTCATGGACTTGAAAAGCCTAAGAGATTCGACTCAGTGAAGGGAGCGAATGCCTAGGAGAGTTGGAATGCATCTGAGAGACGCGCCCAGCAACATCCTTCATCCCGGGCCATTGCCTCCCGGAGGGGAAGAGCACCTTGGAAAGTTGTTCATTGGGCTTCTTTATACCACATGTGTTTCACCCTACAGTTTCTACTGAAAATGTGACTCTTCTCTTGTTGCTTCCTGGATGTTTCCTAGCTTAGGATGAAGGACGGTGTCACTATTGAAATAGGGACATACCTTGGGAGAGGATGGAGGATGATTTTTTTAAGTGGTAGAGACAGTGGGTTCAGTTTTGGAAATTTTTTTTTTTTGGTTTTCTTCCAGTACTGGGAATCGAACTCATGACCTCACGCTTGCCAGGCAGGTTCTGTGCCGCTGAGCTAAATCGGCAGCCCCCCAGTTTTGGAAATGTTGAGTTGGGGTGAGGATGGGCGGCCCAGGGGAAGCTCTTCTCTACAGACTAGACTGGCCCCAGCTGCACAGTCAGTCTGGGGCTCCAAGTTTTGGAGCCATCAGCAGAGAAATACAGCTATGAGGAGGAGGGGCGCTTGCCAGAGCGCTTGCCAGGGTGGATGGGGAGAACAGGCAGAGGACGACTTCCGAGCAGGAGGGAGGAAGAGAAAACAGCGACAAGATTTGTGGAAGAAGGAGAGAAAAAGCTGAGCATGAGAGTTGAGTGTGGATGCCTAACAGTGTCAGGAGACAGAGTTGAAGAAACGTGAGGGAGGAAGCCAGGCTTCCGACCTTCTTAAATGAATTAGTCATCACCGAATGTAAAATTTACCCTCTGAAATAGACAATTCAGTTTTTAGCATATTCACAAAGCTGGGTAACCATGACCAATACCTAACTTAAGAACATTTTTATCATTCCCAAAAAAACCCTGTCCCAAGGCAGCAAGTTCTTGGTGACCTAAGAGAGCAGTCTCCACAGAAGGGCAAGGACTCGACCCCCAGTGAAAGCCGGGCAGAGCAGAATGTGTTTGGAAGAGAGTCAAAGACCAGGCAGAGAAGAGGCGAGCTGTGCTGAAGGGCCTGGAGAACACGGAGGGGAAGGTGCCCGAAGGAGCGAATGCAGAGCCCTGCCGCTCTGTGGCCAGGAACGGGTGGGATCTCTGTCTGAGATGGCTGGGAAAACAGTGGTTGTGTGAGTTAAGCAGTTTCTGTCCCAAGCCGCCTCAAAGCCTTCAGCGAGGAGGCGAGCTAAGGGGTGAGGGAAGGACCTCGAGGTGGCAGTGGTAACAGCCAGGAGATGCAAGGTGTGAAGGGGCGGAGCGAGACATAGAGGGGTTCTCGCGAGAGGGGCAGGGAGCCTCCTGGGTGGAAAGTGGCGGGGCAGTGCCTGCGGGGGCCTCACCCGCCAGCCTCTGCTGCTGCTTGGCCTCTTCCAGGCTGTCCGTCAGCTTCTGGACCTCCGCTTTCAGGGCCTCGAGCTCCAGCTTGCTCTCTTCCAGCCTGGCCTCCTTCTCTTGGAGCTCCTTTACCAAACACTGCTGCTTCTCCAAATCCAGCTCCTTCTTCCTGAGGCAGCACTGCACCTGGCTCAGCTTCTTCTCCAGCTCATGCAGCATTTCATCCTTCTCTTGCAGGAACTGAGGAGATCAAAGTGGGGACGCTGAGGAAGGCCTGAGCAGCAGTGAAGTCAGTTAGAGATTGTTCTCGAGCCCTTGTCCAAGCCACTGTCATCTCTTCCCTGGATACTGCAAGAGCCTCCTCCTACCTGTGCTCCCTACTACCACCACCGGTCACTGGGGCTGTTCTCAAGGAAACAGCCGGCTGTGCATAGGGGGCTTTAAAAGTGCAAGTCAGACCTTCTGCCTTAGCTCGAAACCCTTGCTGGCTTCCATCCCACTTAAAAGAGGTCCTTAAAATGACCTTCTGAGATGCTCAGGCTCTGGTCCCACCCAGGCTGCCTGTCTATCAGCCATCCGCACCTCTCTCGGCCTCTGCTGGCCTCCTGGGGCAGTGCAAGCAGACTCCACCCCAGGGCCTTTGTGCTTGCCATGCCCTCTGCCTGAAATCTGCTTCCTCAAGACCTTGCTGGAGTGACTCACTCAATTCCCATCTCTGACCCAATGTCACCTTACCAGAGAAGCCTCCCTTTACCTCCACTCTATATGTAAAGTAGCTACCAGGCAGCATGAGGAGTTTATTAGTTCCTGGCATCAATATGTATGTGTTACATATTAATTTTGTTATTTTTTCATTGTCTTACCATGAGAACATGGATGTTGTACGTCTGGTTATATTCTCAGTGCTTAGAACAAAGCTTGGCATAGTGTAAGTGCTCAAGGATATTTATTGACTGAACATGTGAATGACCTTAAGCTGTTTATCCAGACTTCTTGCTTCAATGTGCCACCTCTCCCAATGCCTCCGTTTTTTTTTTTTTTTTTCTTTTTATTTTTTGGTTTTCCTCCGGTACCGGGAACCGAACTCACGACCTTGCGCTTGCCAGGCAGGCGCTTTGCCGCTGAGCTAAATCCCCAGCCCCCAATGCCTCCGTTTTGACTGGTGGGTTTCCTCCATCCTTTGAAACAGGAGGTGTTAATGACCCGCCAGTCAATCAACTGAATTATTTTTAATAGCTCTGATAAAAGTTCAAAGTTGGAATAGTACTAACTATAAAAAACTTGCACTGGCTGGGTGTGGTGGCACACGCCTGTAATCCTGGCTGAGGCAGGAGGATTGTTGCGAGTTGGAGACCAGCCTGGGCTACAAAGTGAGCACAAGGCCAGCCTGAACTGCTTAGTGAGACCCTGTCTCAAAAAGACAAAAACCAAAAAAAAAAAAACAAAAACCAAAAAAAGTGCACTGGTTTCACTGTTCTTGTTCCACTTCTAGGCTTTTTCAGGATCTTGATTTATGTTAGCAACTATAGGTCTCTAGGGCATAGCGCCAGTAACACTCCCAAGCTGCCTAATTTGTGTATTCATAAGGTATTTGTAATTTTTTTAGTGCTGCAGATTAAACTCAGGGCCTCACACCTGCTAGGGAAGCACTTTACTACTGGGCTATACGTCCAGCCCTGCTATTTCTAATTTTAAAGGGTGAAGGTTTTAAATAAGCTTGTGTATTATTTTAGAGGATTTCCTCCAACTCTCAAGCATAAAGTACAAGGGGATAGTGTAAGGAAGTGCGTCCCAAGTTCTTTTGAGACACTGCAAGGATAGGAGAGACCTCTTTCTTTTTTTTTCTTTTTTTCTTTTTTTCTTTTTTGGTTTTTGGTTTTTCTCCGGTACCGGGAACTGAACTCACGACCTTGCGCTTGCCAGGCAGGTGCTTTTGCCGCTGAGCTAAATCCCCAGACCCTTTTACTTAGGTTATTTATTTTTTTATTTTTTTATTTTTTGGGAGAGACCTCTTTCTTATGGGTTCAGCGTCTCTATTATGGTCTGGCCATGGCCATACCCATTTGTCTGAAGCTGTCTTAGGGGCGCTCAGTCCTGCTGTGCTGTGATGAGGCTGCCCCAGCAATTGCAGGAGGTGGGGAATGCAGAACCTGGCCTGGCCTGGCCTCACACCTGCCCTCACATCTCACCTTGTCTTTCTTCAAAGCGAGCGTCTGGGTCTCTGTGAACTGCACCTGCAGCTCCTGCAGCCGGTGCTGCAGGATGGCAGCTTCCTTATCCTTCCTCTCGATGTGCGCGGAAGTCTCCTCCCGCAGCCCGTGCAATTCCAGCTCCATCTTCATCATGTCTGCGGCAGGAGGGGAAGACCGGGTGCTGCTCTCTCAGAGGAGGCCTCTGCTCCTTCCGGTTCCCTGGCTCCAGCCTCCCCCCATTTACCCTTCATGATGTTTTTCTTCTGCTCTGACACGGTTTCCAGTTCCGTGCGCAGGTCCTTCACGAGGTTCTGGTACTCTTCCACGTGCAGGCACTGGCTGTCCTTCTGTTCCTGCAGGTGCTTCAGGATCTGGCAGTCGGAGGAAGAGAGCATGGGTGAGGACTCCCGGGGGAAGAATGCATCTGCAAGGACCAGGTATCCAGAGCAGAACAACCCCGAGAGACAGAAAGTAGAACAGGGGGTGCCAAAGGCTGCAGGGAGGAGGATGAGGAGCAACTGCAAATGGTGTGGGATTTCCTTTGGGGTGATGAAAATGTCCTGGAATCAGATAGCGGTCATGGTTGCTCAATCTTGTGAATATACTAAAAAGCAACGTTGAAATTGCTTTGAAAAGAAAAAGTGAATTTTATGGCTTGTCAATGATGTATCGATTTAAATGATATTTAAAAAATGGATACAGCAGACTTCCCATACTCATACAAAATGCACACAAAAGAACCACCCTTTCCTCTCTTAACAGACAGTCATTGATGGAGCTTGTGTTGTATGCCAGGCGAGGGCTTAGGTGCTGAGGACAAAATGCAGAGGCACACAGCCTTGCTGCATAGAGCTCGCAAAGACAGTGACCTCTGGAAAATGCTCAACATTGACAAGAACTGTGGGAGAAATAAAACAGCAAAAGGGGCATGGAAGTCGGAGGCAAGGGCAGGGCATGTGTGTCACAGTTTTAAATGAGTCTCATTGAAAAAGGGGCTTCTGGGCAGGGACTTGCTGGGAGAGCAGGAGCGGGCCGTGCTGTGGGTATCTGAGGGGAGAGCTTTGCAAGTAGACAGATGAGCCTCTGCCAAGGTCTTGGAGGGAGGATGCAAAGAAGATCAGTACAGATAGGATGCGACCAGGGATGGGACAGTAGGAAGAGATGAGGTGGGGGCTGTGGGTGACCACATCGCGCAGGGCTGATAGTGCCTCTGCAGGAACTTTGGTTTCTATACTGAAGGACAAGTGAATGCCTTCCTCACCCAGAGGAGACAGGGACATGTGGCTGACGGGGAGCAACTCATTGTCCAGACCTCAGAGGATGCTGGGAGAGTTGTTTGTGTGAGTTCAGGGTTGGCAGGAAGGAGAGATGCAGCATGGAGCCAGGAGGTGACAGCTGGAGAAGTACGGGGCGATCACCATGCAGCGCAGTATGGCCCTGCAGGCGCTGTGCCGGCTGAGGCGGGGAGAGGACTGCTGGAAGGCACTGCGACAGGGTTCCCTTCATTCCTAACAGATCATCCGGGGAGTAAAATCATGGGGAGAGGTATATATTGTTTCATGGAGAAATCAGCTACACTTAAAAAGGGACTGTTACGAGATCTTGCTGGAGGTCAGGATGTGAATAACATGGAACTGACATTTAACATAAATACAGATATTTGTAGTTCTAAGGATGTGCTACAAAGTTTAATATTGATTCCTCACTCAAACAGCTTTCTGGGATTGGAAGTCCTGGAATGAGCAGTCTCTATCTCCCCACTGGAGGAGCCCTTGGAAGGCTTACATGTGTCCCTGAGCTCAAGTTTGCAATCCACCTGCCTCGACTCAGAGTGCTGGGATTGCAGTTGTGTCCCTACTGCACTCAGCTTAGAATTAATTCCTGATACTGCTTTGAATTTTACAGAGTTTGCTAAAGAAAGCAATGAACTAGCATTAACAATCTCTCATAAATTTGTAACTTTCCAACTCCTGCCAGACACTAGAAGGCTGGGTGGTCCTTTTGAATCAACCAAGCCAGTTGTAATACTGTCATGTTTAGTGCACTGTTAGAAGCAGGTTAAGAGAGAGTTGCAACTCCAAAATCCAGTCTCAATCTTTGGGACTTGCCACATATTATACGGAGTACCCTTGTGGCCAACCGAAGGTCATACAAATATAAACTGCAATATAAAAACAAGAAATAATCAGAAAAGCCATGTGTGGTGATGCACACCTGTAATCTTAGTATTCTGGGAGGCTGAGGCAGGAAGACTGTAAGTTCAAACCCAGCTTGGGTAACTTAGTGACTCAGCAAGACTGTGTTTTAAAAGAACAAATTAAAAGGGCTGGGGCTATAGCTCAGTGCCAAGGCCCTGGGTTCAATTCCCAGTAGCAAAAAAAAAAAAAAAAAAAAAGAAAAGAAAAGAAAAGAAAATCAGAAAACCCAATAAGCAAATCCACCACAGCCTGATCCCACCAGACACGAATAAGCAAGAGCTCCCACCCTTTTTATGTCTTCACAGTCTTCTGAGGAGCTAGGAGGGTGTCTGTGAGTGGCGGTATAAGAAGCAAAATCTGCTTGTAATTTTATCAAAGCCTCTTCACGCTCCAGAACCTGCAAATGAACACAAGTTGGTTAGGGTGAATGACGAACGTCACATACTTATTAATGTTACCACTTTTGCAGGGTTCCCTTTCTGCATTGTAAGTTTTTTGTCTTGTGTATTTCCTGTGGGATTGGTAGGAAGAAGGAATCACGATCTCAATCTTCTATCAAGCTTGCCGAAGGCATAGAGACTGATTTGTCTCACGTCTATCAAGGGCCACATTTTGGATGCTCCTGAGCCTTGGTGGGGGTCTACTTTCTGAGGCAGAAGGATCTCTAGAGGCTGTGAGAGAGACATGTACCTGATCTATCAGAGGACAAGGTGCAGATTCAGAGTTTGAGAATTAAAATTTTCTTACAGAGTGTGTGTGGATACTCTTTTTTAAAATTAAAAAACATGAAAGTTTTGTTTCAATTTCATGGTTTTCTGAATTTGTAGAAAATAATTCAGACAAAACCCAAGCATTGAAAGTAAGGGAAAACTCCTTTACTATTGTCCTCTCTCACTGCTACTAAGGGAGGGAGGACACAACTGAAAATTTGCAGCACATGTCTCTATATTATGATCAGAGATTGTAAAGAAACATAGGGTTATATCCACTTACTTTCTTTTTTTAAAATTTATTTTAAAAATAAAGAAGGAAAACATATGAACAAGCAGACATCCACTTACAAAATAACATAAGAACAATACAAGCAATACAGAGTTACAGACAAAGTGGTAGGAAATTAACAACGGTTGTTGTATTACATATTGAGATCTTCAAAGTGGTTTCTCAGGAAAACAAATAGAGACATGTAAGATGGATCAAATAATTAATCATTAGCTGTCCCTTTTAGTAAAGCAATAGAAGTCAGTAGTACAACTATGTTAGCTACCCTGCATATATGTACATACATCATTTCCCCTTCTTTCTTTTCTCTTTTCCCTCACCCCAGTTGCTTTTGAGCATTTTATTTTTGTTTCACAATGTCTGTTATACCTCCTAATTTTTATTCACTCTTTCAGGTTCTTACACTAGTGAGACAATATGTTGCTTACACATGGAGGTCTGGTTTATTTCACCTATGAGTATGGTCTCTAATTGTGACCATTTACCTGTAAAAGCTTTGAGTTTATGTTTCTTTATAGCTGAGTAATATTCCATTATATAAAAGTATCACAATTTTTTTATCCATTCTGTCCACTTACTTTCAACACTACCTTACAAAGGTCCTTCCCTACAGCTCTTACAGATTTGCTTCATTCTTTTACTGGCTGTGTATTATTCCATATTATGCATATGTCTTTGAGCATTTCTTTTAATTTCTTAAAACCATTTATCTACTGATGGGCACTTATGTTGCTGTGTGAGAGATTAATAAGTGCCTTTAGAATCTCAAACCTAGTAATGAGTAGGAGAGATGCGTGCCATAGAGAATATGAACAGAAGGTGGGGGCAAGTCTGAATGACATTTGAGGAGTCTTGGTGAAAGAGATTATTTTACATGACTCTTTCCCACCCTTCTTTCCTCGGGGTTTTATTGTGGGCCCCTCAAGAGCAAGGCACTTACCAAAGCATTACTGCAGGCTAGTTTATTTCGAAGCTCCTGGATTAGATCATCCTGTTCAGAGACCTTTTGCCAGACTTCAGACAGTCGTTTCAGGGTCTCCTGATGCTCTTGAATCATGCAGGAGGAAGTGTATATACGCACCTTTGGGTGATCACCCTTGTTCTCTGGTTCCTGGGATATTTAAAAATAATGGACTGGTTTCATTTGCAGTTTGTGAGTTGACTTCAGAATTCCATATGCATAGAAAATCTCTAGACCAATGTACTAAAAGTATATGTTCATATATGGGACACATGGTTTCCTTAGAAGAAAAAATTAACTCCTGCAGATCCAGAGTAAAATGACCCAATAGTTCATAAGAGAATACATCAACCTACAAGACTAGGGTCTTCTCCTCATGACAGTCTGTGTTACCAGTTTTTTGGGTATCTTTACATGGATATTCTATGCATATTTATATATGCGTGTATGTATATTTATACACCCTTACTTGTTTCTTTACATAAATAAGACTCTTATACACACTATTCAAAACATTGTGTTTTCATCCGATGATTTACTTAGAATATTCTTCACATCATTTTTTGTAGATCTGTTTTACTCTTAAAATTAATTTCAAGTTACATGAGTAATGATGTTTATATTACTGTTCTAAAACATGTAACGTTACAAGTCTAAATTTCTCCTTGAGCACTAAATCTAATCCCTTGCCCTTTTCTGTTTTCCAGAAATGTCAAGTTGTACATGTTCTTCTAGAACTTTATTTACTCACATAATATAGATGAATCTATAAAACATGGATTATGTTGGGGTTTTAAAACATAAAAATGGATTTTACTTAAGCTATGATTTATTCATATTAGTACATGTACTTCTGTTTTGTACTTTTAAAGTGCTTTGAAATATATTTATCCAGCTTCTTAACGATAGTAACAGATTGCTTTTAGTTTTCTCCCCTAAGATGAAGCTGAAACAAATACTTTTTCACAGCAATCATTGAGTACCTACTTTGGTAAATGTGTAGATTTAATTCATGGAAGTAGGAATACTAATTCACATTTAACACTTGATAGACATTGTACAGTTGTCTTTCAGAGAAATTTTGCGATGCTCTCATTAATCTGGGTATGAATAATTTCTAAGAACCATGATTTTTGTTTTTGTTTAAAAAATGATTTTCCTTAGATCATGTGAAATCATGCATGAAGATACTACCCTCTCTTGGTCTGTTCTAATGTGGGGTGAACTGATACACAGGGTGTAAACAGAGCCAAGTGTTTTAGTTTGGATGGTAGGTTCCCACCCCCATTAAACTTGTTTCCCTAGCTGTGCTTTTTCAGGCAAAGTTAGAAATAGTTCAAGTTCACCGAGCATGAAACCTGCCCATGAGCAAGCTGCAGAAAGATCAGTTGGAAATCCAAACTTGACCACAAATGATGTTTATGTAAATAATTTAGTGTATAAGAGGGCAAAAGAATTAGAAATATAATGGAAAAGTTAAGAAAGAGGAAGAAGATATCTTTGGATTCTATTATCTCCTTAATGCTATGGAATGAAAAAAGGAAATTGATTTAAGAATAATAGAAGAAAAATTCCTTGAATTGGAAAAAGATGCAGATCTTCATATGAAAAGTCAGTTAAGTGTTGAGAGGCTTAATGAAAAATAAACTAAAAACATCCTTAGCCCAAAAACTTACTTCAGAGTTCAAAGAGATAAAACAGGGGACCTATAGAAAATGAGAAACAGATTGACACCCAAAAACTGATCTTTAGTCCTGGGTAGCATAAGACTATATAGCAATATAGTAGTAAAAGCTTAAGGGAAGGTACTTTTGAAAGTTTGCATATTCAGTCAAACTAGCATTCAAGAATGATGTCAAAATGAACTTTGTTCAGACGTAAAAATAATAAGAAATTTGGCCACCCACAATTGTTTTGGAAAGAATTAAGAAGAAATCATTACAGCAAAAGGAAAACTCTAGGGATGCAGAGAGTAAGTTATAGTTGAGTTTATTTGTAGTTTTATTTTATTTCATTTTTTATTTATTTGGGTTTTTTCCAGTACCGGGAATTGAACTCACGACCTTGTGCTTGCCAGACAGGCGCTGTGCCACTGAGCTAAATCCCCAGCCCTATTTGTAGTTTTAAAGGAATAGACATTTTTTATGTTACATGGACAGTTTCAGAGATTAAAAAAATGAAAAGCTTTCAACTCAGTTAAGATGGCACAAGTCATACATTACTACAAGATGAGAACACAAAAACATAAACCATCAAATTAATATCATTTCTGAAAATAGATACAAAAATAAAATTTTTACAAATTTAATAAAAATAAAAGTTATAAAAGTAATATATCAAATCAAATATACTCTATCTCATTAAAAGATGCTAATAAAAACATCGATAAAATACTCATCCTTGATATAAAATTCTTGGTTTAAAATTCTTAAAATTATTGATATAAAATTCATCTTTGATATAAAATTCTATTAAGCTAGATACAATAATACCTTAAATTTGAAAAAAAGTATTAACAAAAAACCAAGAACAGGGCAGGCATGGTGGTACATGTCTGTAATCCCAGCACTTGGGAGGCTGAGGCAAGAGTAATGCCATGAGTTCAAGGCCAGCTTGGGCTACACAGTGAGTTCAAGGCCATCCTGGACTACATGGCAAGACCCTGCCCCCCCCCAAAAAAAAGCCCAGAACAGGCATTACACTTAATGGACTGGTATTGAAAACACTTCCTTTAGAGTAAAGAGCAAGACAATGATACTATGTTTTTTATCTTGTTCTGGAGGTTCTAGTTAATGCCAAAGTTGGAAAACAAATTATACAAATTTTGAAAGTAAAAACAATTTAGAAAAATCAGAGATGTTTAACTGAAAATCCATTAAGAGAGCTCAGTAAGGGGGCAGAGTAAGAGATAAGTTTTCTATACATCAGTAATAATTCTCAAGATTAAATGTGTGAAAGTTCCTACTCGTAAGAAAATACAACTGTAATATATCTAGACATAAACTTACAAGAAGTACATGAGCTCCATACAGAAAGCATACCATCTTCCTGAAGGGTACATAAGAAAACCTGAATAAAAGTACAAATACGTCATGTTCCATAGAGTATGCTAATTTCCCCCAAATTAATATATAGTGAATAAGTCAGTCAGTGTGAATCTATGTTTCATGAAGAAGAGATGTTTGAAAAAGATGGAGAAAAATTTGAAGTATAGAAAAGTGGAGCTATAAAACATGTTACCAGTTATAAAGTCACCAGGAAACTCAGACATTGATGCCAGAACTGGAAAGTAGACCGAAAGAATAGAGTCTGGAAAGAACTACACATACAGAGGAATCAGTATTATGAGTTGGTACTTGAGTCTGTGGGGAAAAGCCAGAGTGTTCAATTAATGGTCTGGGGACCACTGGAGATCCATTTAGATAAACATAAAATTAAAGTTTTATCTCATCATATAAATATTAAAAATATATTCGGGATGGAATAAAGATAAAAGCATAAAAATGCAAAATTATAAAGTGCTAAAAGAACATATAAGATAAACTTTTATAATCTTGGGAGCAGAGAAGGTCTTCCTAAGCAAGATATAAAGCCTAGAATCTATAAAGAAGAACTGACAGATTCAACTCCATAAAAAGTACAAATTCTGTGTGGTGAAAAATAACATTAATAAAGTAAAATGAAAAGTTACAGACCGGGGGAGTATTTGCAGTACATGTAATACAGGATGATTCCCTGTAATACATTAAGAAAGTCCTATAAATCGATATAGAAAATACTAGCCCAGTTAAACATGGGCTAAGGATTAAAACAAGCAATTTGTAAAACAAAAACTCCACAGGACCCACGTGGGCAGTGCTCGGGATCTTCTCCGTGTGGTAGAGGCTGGGACGCCCCGCCAGACACCCTTCGGCAATCACAGACTTACTGCCCAAGCCGCTGCCAGTGCCTCTGCCAGTGGCCATCCTTTCTAGGGATCGCCGGGGCTGACGAAAACTGCTTTGCTCAAGGTCGCATCTCTCCCTAGGGGTGGCCCGTGTCCAATAATGGATCAGCAGGGACGCACAAAGGCCGGGTCCTTTTCCCTCAACTTAGGACTGCTCTGAAGTTTCCCTCAGCCCCTCTTCTCACCACGCGGTTGGCCGAGGTCTTTGTGAGACTGTATCATAGCTCAGCTTCTCTCTCTTCCTGCCCAGCCATACTTCCGTCTCCTTCCTGTCACAGGTGCTAATAATACTGAGGTCCCTCCCTAAAAGCACCCTGCATGCTAACCTGTATTGGAGTCTTCTTTCTGGGGAACCCAACTGGCGATCATTACAACTAAAGGAAATGACAACTGTAATGAGAAAACATTCTTCCCCCCTTACCCATCGTGTAGCACAACTTAGAAAGAATGAAACATACAGCATAGAGAAAGCGCTCTTCATTACATATGTTAGCGGAAGTGTAAACTGGCAGAAACTTTTTAGCTCTTCACAATTTAGAAGTAACTTTAAACATTGAAAACAAGCATATCCTTTGATGTAGCAATCTCACTTCAGGAATTACCCTCTAGAAATAAGGATGCTTATTCCAGTTTTTTAACAGAGGGCAAAAGTTAAACAGATAGTATATACTGTATAACAAGGTAGTGACAAAAAGAAATTAAAGATACACATTTAAGACTCAGTCATAAAACATTATTTTAAATGTTTATCTAATGACACTCATGTAAAAAGAGAATTCTATCTTTTCTGCATGTAACAGTGTCGAAGAAGCCCTGGGAGACTCCCAACACATTATTCAAGTGATTACATAAGGGACAGGAGGAGAGAGAGGGTGAAGGCAAACTTTCACATTTACTCTCCATACTTCCGTCTGGGGAGCCTATATTATTACATTACTTGTGTAATTTGAAAAGCAATTAAAAGAAAAAAGGAAATTCCAATCTTTTGGCTCTTCTTTTCTGTGGAATGGGAAAGTTTCACGACTTTCTCCTCCTGCCTGATCCTGGAGGCAGGGTCTGCATGAGCCTTGTGGCCTGGAAGTGCTCATCGCACATCTCCACGAGAACACAAGAAGACCGGGGAGTTCATCCGGTAATTCTCCTGCCTTATTTGAAATACGAGTGCTTTGTACCCATTAAGCAGCTTCAAAATGTCTAAGGAGTAATCATAAAGGAGATGCAAAAGCTAGCAATCCAAGAGCGAATGCCTACAAAATTCAAGGGCAGGAAATGATACCTGCTTGGGGCATGGGTTTCTGGAGGAGGAAGCTGGGACCAAAAGCGCAAGCCACCCGGGAGCGTGTTGGCTTGCAGGGACTTCTGGACCGCGAGGTCTGGTGTAAGTCCTACCTGACTGATGAGCCCGCTGAGCTCCCCCTCTAGTATCTTCACTTGGCACTCTAGTAACTCGATGTTGCTCAGGGAAGTCTGATATTTATCCCTGTAGAGGTTTAAGCTTCTTTCTAGGGAGACAATCTTGTCCCCAGCCAGGGCAAGCTGCTCTTGTGCCAGATGGAGCTTCTCTCCTGTGTTCTCATTATGATTTCCCATCTCCTCTTCATAGAGAATCACCTGTTAGTGTAAAAACGAAACCACACCGAACCCTTGGAAGCAGCTAATGAGGAAAGAAAGAATGCGGTTATAAGACCCCATACAGAGCAGTTCTTTATTGAAACTAGAAACCCAGATGAAGAGAATTCATGCAGCACAGACTTAAAAGCTTCAATAGATAATATCAAGATGTGAATGATTAGAAATGAAAAGGATTGTCTATATGGTGGTAATCTTCTTAAAAGCAGGGGCCATGTCTATTACCCATTCTCTGTAGAATGTGGTAGGAGCTCAATAAATACTTAATGATTAATAGGAATGGATTTGTATCGCTCCATAGTTTTAGGGGCTTGAAATGCCAGCATTCTTTCTATCCTAAGCACTCCCTAGAGATCTAATTTGGAAAACGTAGAGCCCTTCATGCGCACACATCCACATTAGTATCATTCCCAAGAGATATTGGGGAGTATGACCCGAAGCTTCTGTGAGATTTGCATAATCCTTACTTAGGCTTCTTTTCTTTCTAATCGATTAGTCATCCGATGGACAGATATTGAAAACTCATGAACATTGTGTTGGACGCAGAGGGGATCCACACATATGAGACATAGGGTACCTTGCAAAGAGTTTAAAACTTTCCAAATCCTCAGGAGATAAGATTTATAATTAGCAAACTGTATATAACTGAGTGAGCAAAATTCTATGACTCAAATGATGTGTGTTCAAGGAGTTAAGAGGAGATTCCTTGAGAAAGGTTTCCTAGTGGCTCAGATAGTCCAGTTCTAACAGAGCATGTTCCATTCATTTAAGCTAATTATATTTGCTGTCTAATAGCTGAGATTCTTAGGAAAGGATCATTGAGTTTAAGGTATTTATTAGGCAGAAAGAAGAGGTGAGGAATATTTTATATTCAAATGTTCACAACAGAAGCTGTCAGTGGTCTACTCACATCCCCCTGACACTATATCTTTGCCACTAAAGCTATTCAGTGGCAACCATTTTGACTCCACCTGAGGGCTTCTCTGGCCCAGGAGCTCACTCTTTCAGAGGGTGAGGGAGGGCAGGTGAGAAGTGCTGGGAGGTAACACCTCTAGGAGCAGCCCTTAGCCAGTGACTGGAGTGAGTTGGTGCACTGCTCTGAGGCATGTTCTAGTATCTCCCGAGCTCTCCAGAAGGGTCAAACTCCAGTTGCTTCTGATCCATAGAAACTTCCTGCCCTTCTTTGAGGCACTTCCCTGTGTGCTTTCTGGAACTGCCTCGGGAGTTAACTCATCCTCCTACTCACATTGTCGTCTTACCAGTGATGGCGAACCTTTTAGGGATTTCAGTGGTAACAGCCTGTGGCAACACGTGCGCCTTGGGTTCACCACCACTCTGGGCTCTGCTGTTGACAGAACCCAGTCTTAGGTAAAAGTTTGATGCCTCTGTGTAACAAAGCATTGGAGGAGCCTGGCAGAAAATGTAAAATAGAATTGCTAATGTTTTCTCAGTTCAAAATCTGTGGCTGCTATTTGCTGGATTGCATATTTATCCCCCGACCCTCCCAGAGAACCTTGTCTCTGCTGGGAGTGGCCATACACCTCCTGAAGCACTAGCTACAGCCATGTGGCTAATTCTGGCCAGTGATGCATAAGTGCTGTGGGGGGGTTTTGGAAAGTCTTCTTGAAAAGAAAGGGTGTGTTTTCCTTCTTCATCTGGATTATGTGATGACTGGAGTTCCAGCAGCCACCGCAGGTGATCTAGAGAATGGAAGCTTTGAGCTGATGTGACACATGCAGTTGCCATTATAGTAATAACCACCTATCTCTGATCTCCTTTTATAGGACATAGAAAGAAGTAAACTGTTATTTATTTGCTGGCCTTTGCAACTATATACTATCTCAATAAATCTAAGGTTGCTTTATTGAGGTTGAACTCTTTTATTTAATTTATAGTGAACCAGCCAGTTTTAACACACCTGCATATTAGCTCTATTAAACCATGGTTTATACTCATAGGCTTTGGCCTAGATTATATTTTGTAGGATAACCTTTCTTTGTTCCTTCCCCTCCTAATGCCTTCTAGAAAATTCTCCTTTGGCCATAATATTCCGTTTTTAAAAATTCCACTTTCTAAGGCCCCTCATAAAGTACCTGCAATTGGTTCCTATAGAACATCACTGTCTAAAACACTTCTTGGAACTTTCCTTAAATCTGAGGAAACAAAATGCCAAGGGAAGCCCCAGATGGGAGTCTGTTGGCCCCATGAATCAGAACCGTCATCTTATTGCGGTTAATGCTGGACTGGCTTTAGTTCTGTAGCTTTAAGTCTTTGAAATTTACTTGGGGTTCTACAGGGATGCTACTGTGGTTTAAAAAATACTGCCCTGGAACATGAATAAGAATGAAGGCCCAGAATATGCTTAGGCTAAGTCCAGAAGATCTAAACCTCCAGTCTGAAAAAATGATCTAGCACTCTCAGTGACGGTCTCAGATTCAATGTCAGGTTTCTTGATCCACTGTGTAGGTGCCAGGAATTTATATGTCATCAAGACCTGATTTATCTAAGAATAGCTGATTTAATGGACCTTATACCTTTTAAAAATAATCTCCAGGGGCCTAGAGTCTTTTGTATTTCAATTGCAATGCTAGCAGAATGGAGAGGATGGGCTCGTGTACACCTGCACATGCGGCTCACATATCCCACATGCACTAATGAGAGGGTTAGGAGATCTGCCCAGTTACGGCATTCTGTTTAGTTTTTTTTCTGCTCAGCTTCAAAAAGATCAAGAATCAAAGAGGGAAAACGTATAAAGTCTGCTCAAGATGTTGTGAAGCCCTCCTTATTAAGTCTAGCATTTACTTTCTTTTAGGATTGGATTGCTGGCCTCTTTTCTGTAGGTCCATGGGGATGTAGGACATTTCTAGAGTTAGTATAGTGATACCTCATCTTCTTTCAGCTTGCAGTGGTGGTGAAGAAGAACCAGCTCGGATGTCTGCTTTTCCAGGATGGACTGATACTGCAGGAGAGAACAGTAGGAAGTCTGCAGCTCGTCTGTGCGAAACTCCAGTTCTTGCTGAAGGGACAGCAGTTTTTTCTTCAGTTGCTGAAGTTGTCTCAGATGACACTCTTTAGTAGACCCGAAGTCTATCTGGGACTCCTCAAATGCTAATGTCTGTGCCTGCTTCTTGTTCTATAATACAGGTAGAATATACAGAAAAGGCTTTAGATTGTCACTAAGCATGCAGTGATTCTTTGATTTTTTTCATTTCTTCAACCATTCATATCTATCCATTTACCCTTTTCTATTTTTATCCACAGAGAACTTACTAACCATTTCATTCTATTCATAGAAAAATACAGTACTTTGTAGTCTCAGTCTATAAGGAGGTTATTACCTATCAGAAACTTATTGTAAGTCAGAAGGAGAAACATATATGTAAAAGATCTAGGGAATGTAGGTAACACCGGTAATATTTTGCCTTCACATATATAGAACACAGTTGAGTTGGAAGGAAATGGGTTTTTGGTCAGGGCTCACAGGCCAAATTTGGTACTAAAAATACCTAGGCAGAGGAGCACTGAAAGGAGTCAAGGGTGAATTCTTGGAGGTATTGTAATTTTAGAAAAAGGCAAAAATATTATTCACATCTGCACTGACTGTCTTCTTCTGAAAGGTGTGACCTTACAGATGCTGTGTGTGTGCGCACACATGCATGATGTATGCCTGTGTGCACACGTGTGTGTGTGTGTGTGTGTGTGTGTGTGTGGTGTGCTCTTTCTCTGCAAACCCACTGTCTACTGAAAATATTGCTAGGCCCACCCTCCATTTCTATTCATTCACATATGCTGAGAACCTACTCTGTAGCAGGCGTTCAGCTGGTAAGACACATCCCTGAGTTGTTTTTCTAGAATAAATGGAGTTTCCCACTGATGCTTTGCTATTTTCTTGCCCATTATCCCATAGGATGGTGATATGTGAAAGAGAGGTGGGTAGTTGAAAGGGACAGTTAATGCTTAAATATTTTGAACAGTTTTGCATGCTTCTATCTGGTAATCTGAACAACTAATTTGAAGACAACAATATGCACTACAACAACCACTGTTGAATTCCTACCATCTTATTTAGTGAAGCTCTGTATTGTTTCCAGTTTTTAAAATTATTTTTTATTCTCTTTAATTGATGGATCGATCTTGCATTCTTACATCTGGTGATTGGAGCAACTTCGCTGAAGATAACAATATGTATTATACCAACCGTTGTTAATTTCCTATCCTCTTGTTTTGAAATTTTGTATCATTTTAATTGTTTTTGTGTTGTTTTGTTTTTGTCTTTGTTGTTATTTTGTTGTTGTTTTTTCTTCTTTAAAATAAAATTTAAAAAAGATCCTAATAAAAAGAGAGAGGTGGGTGAAGAGGGCAGCAGGAGGACAAGCTTCAGTTCCCATGTCTGCTTATGATCTTTCTGCTTATACTCGAAGACCCTGGGCAAGTCCTGCTCTCCTCGTTTTTCTCTGAGCAACTGTCTTTGCATTAGTACCAGAGACCTGGCTGGTACATTCAATTTTCATTCTGCACCTATTCTATTTTTTGTTGTTGTTGTTGTTGGTACTGGGAATCAAACTCAGGACCTTGTGCTTGCCAGGCAGGCACTTGTGCCACTGAGCTATATCCCTGGCCCCGTACCTATTCTAATTAGGTTATAAACTCCTAGGGGGCAAGGAACTATGTCTTCTCCTACTGGGACTAGATTAGAGATTCATACATCACCATTTATTAGATGAAAGAAATGAAGATGGAGACTAAAGATTCCACCTGTTTCTAGGAATTTGAACTTGTGGACTTGGCTTCATTAACAGAGTACTTATTTAACTTAACAGCTTTCAAGCTTTTAAAAAAATTAACTTTTTTTTACAGTTTTAGTGAGGTGTACTTTATATATTATAAAGTATATAATTCAATAATTTGTAATAAATCTATAGAATTACACAGCAATCATTACACTGCAGTTTTGGAGTAGAGAAAGCGAGGGGAGAAAATGATACTAGTTGAGGTGAGAAAAGAAAAGGACATGAAAGGCCATCGGAAGGTACTGAGCAGCAGAGTGACGTGATCTCTTTTAAATTTATAAAGGAGGCATTGGCTGTTGCAGTGGGAATCAACTGTAAGAAGGCAGAGTAGAAGCAGGAAGTTCATAGAGGAAGCCACTAGAAAAACAGAAGCAAGAAAAGATGGTGTAAATCAAGGTGGTAGCAGCAGCTGTGGGGAGAATTGGTTGGATTCTAGACATATTTTGAAAATAGAATCCACATAATTCACTGCCAAATTAGATGTCAAAGGGTGGGAAGTGATGGTCATCCAAGACGAGATGACTGCAGGGTTTTGGCCTGAGTAAGTGGAGAGATGGAATTTTAATGAGATTAAGCCGATATCCGAAAGAGAAACAATCCTCCCCAGTGAGAGTAGGTGATGGCAGCAGAAGTAAAGGGAAGGAGGCTTCACCCAGCTCAGATCCAGGGAGACGATAGCTGACTGTGTCTGTCAGCCTGAATTACTCTTTCCCAGTTCTCCTGGAAGTTTGTCTCAGCCTCAATGCTTTAGCACTGAGAAGGCTGACAGAGGAAATGGACCACTTTGGTCACCAGGCAACAGAAAGCCTACATAAAGTCAAGCTGTACACTTGGCCTAAATGCCTGATGTCTACGGCGAGAGGGAAGTCGATGAGGCTTCTTTCCTAAGCCAAACAAAGCCGAATCTCCTATTTACTTTGTGTAGCTACAGCTCTCAACATTTCCATTAAATATTGTTTCTTAGTGTTTTTATTTTTTCCGGGATAAGGATGATGCTATTCTTAAAACTCATTTGTGAATAAGGTGTAGAGAAAAGGGAGTTGGGAGTAGTGTTGTGTGTTGTGTGCCCGTGTGTGCACATATGCACACACATTGTAAGAGGGAGGTCCTCCGGAGCCCAAATCCTCTCTCTGCCCAGACAGGCTGAGGAAATGGGGAAGGCGTGGGAAAAATGATGACAGATACTCAACGTGGACAGAACTAAAGCAAAGGAACAGCCTCCCAGGCATACAGTGCACTCACAAGGGCTTATTTTAGTGAAGCAAATAGTCAATAAAATCCTCACCACTTTTGCCAGAATCCTTTTTCTTTTGGCTTTGTTGAAGGTGAGCTGATCTCCCAGGATGAAGAAAGTAGATTTCTGGTGCTTCTAGTGTTTTTGTGTTTTGGAACTCCCTCCTCGCTTCCCTCACACATATGACCCAACTGAAAGGCAACTATGGGCTCGTGTGTATTCTTTCTTTGTTTCTCCTTCTGTCCATGTCCTTATTTTCTCTTCATGGCCCAAAAGAATGGGAGAAACATTCTTTGTTTAAAAGACAAAGACTATCTGAGATGAATACACACTTCCCAGATGAAGAAATATAAATGGCAAATTAATATATGAAAAAATGTTCAACATCGTTGGCTATTTTGAGAGATGGAAATTAAAACACTGAGATTCCATCTCACTGCAGCAAGAATGTCTATCATCAAGAAATCAACCAGTAACAAATGCTGGCAAGGCTGTGGGGAAAAAGGAACCCTTCTCCACTGTTGGTGGGATTGCAGACTGGTGCAACCACTATGGAAATCAGTGTGGAGATTCCTCCAAAAGCTAGGATTACAGGTCCCATTTGACCCAGCTGTTCCCTTTCTGGATATCTTCCCAGAAGAATTAAGAATATCGTGCCACAGTGATATATATGCACCAATGTTTATAACAGCACAATTTATAATAGCTAAATCCTAGAAACAACCCAAATGCCCATCAGCTGAAGAATGGATAAAAAAGATGTGATATTTTTGTACAGTGGATTACTACTCATCCATAAAGAAGGATAAACTTGAGACTTTTATAGGTAAATGGATGCAACTTGAGACCATACTCATTAGTGAGATAAATAGGACTCACATGTGTAAACATTATATTGTCTCCCTGGCATGAGAAACTGAAAGAGTAAATAAGGTCTAAAAAGTACAATAGATATTGTGAAATGGGAAGAAATTGTTCAAAAGGAAAAAGGAACTAGGATGGGGGAAGGGGAAAGGAAGGAAGGGAAATGAGAGAAAAATGCAAGTTAGTTATACTGCTAGTGCCTTTTAGTTCATAGAAAGGGAAGGTTTGTGCTTATATCAATTAGAGAATTTTTTATGATCCTATCTTGTACTCTGAGTAACTACTTTGAAGATAATAATATGCAGTGTATTAACTATTGTTATTCTCCTATCTTCCTGTTATGAAATTTTATTTTACCTTTTTCCCATAAAGAAAAAGACTAAACGACAGCAACAAAAGTCAGGTGTGATGGCACGTGCTTGTGACCCCAGCGCTTGGGAGGTGGGGGCTGAGGCAGGAGGACCGCTGTGAGTCCTATAGATTAAATATACATTTTGCTTATATAGGTCAGCCTGGGCTACATAAGTGAGTTCAAGGCCAGCCTGCACTATTTAGTAAGACCTTGTCTCAAAAAAAAAAAAAAAAAAAGAAGACAAAGACTATTTTTAGTGTTTCCCCTTGTAGTACCTAGTATATCATCTATACTTAGATGTGTTCAGGATTTCTCTTTGGCTTTAAAGTTTCCTGGGGGTAAAAGAACGTCTTTTCCTAAATAGTGCATATAAAGCTAGCAGCCGAGCAATGATTCTGATAAACTATTAAGTCTCTTCCCCAGAGGTCATCCTGAATCTTCTGGACTTCATTTTGGTCTGAAGTAACAGGATGGACCAGCTGGATGATGAGAGGTCTCTCAAGTCTTCTAATAGAGAACAGATATAGCAGTGACTTAATTTACCTGATTATAAAAATCCAGGAACAGCTTATATCTTTGGAGAAATTGGAGTGTTCTTGAATGGGGACTTTAAACATTTGCTCACTAATACCTATGGGTTTGGAGGAATCAAATTTCAAAGACCTGGAGGAATGCCTAAACTTATTCAAGAACTATTAACTTTATACTTATTTATCCTAGGTATTCACAAGTTTGTCTTCCTTAATTCTAAATGAATAGAAAATGACAAGCTATGGATTAAATATACATTTTGCTTATACAGGTGCCAAAGAATAATTTCATAAAGAAACCAATGCATTTCTTAATCCTTGTCTTCTTTCCTAAAAGTTTTTCTCCTAGTGAAGACATAGATGTTTTACTATACTCTTTTTTGACTTTAAACTGAGACTGAAGAAACTGAGAAAGTTCTAAATTATTTACTGGAAGTCCGGTTAGTTCTTAATTAGTTCTTAAGGCGACTGCTCAGAGTTGGCTGTGACGTGGAAGCTACCACCTGGAAGTCTACCAGGCTTCCCAGCTAGAGTTGTGACTTTGTATCAGCCACATAGAAAGATGGAAAGTGCCGGCCGCACATAGAAACTTGTTCCCATATTTAGTCAACCTTTTAGCCCTACTTTGGTCAAAGTGATTATAGCTATTGCTCCTTCCTCGCCTATGCGGCCACTTGATCACAGAAGGAAGTTAATTGGCCTGGCATGATTTGCCTTTTGAAAAGTCACATTGGTTTCTACCCAATACTTTGTGCTTTTTAAGTTGATGCTAATTGATTGATGTTAAGTTCTATATTTTCCCTGATATTGAAGTTAAGCTGACAGGCCTATAATTACCAGGATTGTCCTTTTTCCCTTTTTTAAAAAGATGAGCACTTCATTTACCCTTTTTCAGTCTACAGGGACTTTCTTTATCCTCTTGGGTTCTCAAAAATAATCACTAGCAGCTATGTAATAACACCTGCCAATTCCTTAAGTACTCTTAGAAGAATGTCATCGGGCCCTGCTGATTTGCTTAAAGCCAGCTTTTCACAATACTTTTTAACCATTTTATTCCCTATTCTAGTTTCTGTTCTCTTTTGTCACTGGTTAGCATTGTTCTCATAATTGGATCCCTTATAATTTTTTTTTTAAATTGAAGAACCAAAAGTGTATCTTTTAAAAATTTTTTTTAGTCATTGCCATGAGCTTCATTTTCTAACTTTGAAGTATTACATGGGATATTTCTTGGGATGCTCGGTTAGCCTTATATCACTTGGGTAGATTTATATTTATACCTTGTATTTCTTCTGTAGGGTACATTCCTTCTACTGGCAGACTGTAGGACTCTGTGTTTAGGTGACATGCATTTCTTTTGGATGCATCCTTGTGGTTTAGACATTCTTCTCACTTGTGGTCTCTAGTTACCTGAGATTTACTATCTAAAAAAAATTATTTTTGGGAAAAATTCCAAAAGTAGCAGAGAGAGTTTCTATAGCTTCTTCATCCACCCACCTTCCATTAATTTTTTTCAGTACTGGGTATTGAATCCATGGCCTTTGCCCTGAGCTACATCTCCAGCCCTTTTCATTTTTAAAATTTTGAGACAAGATCTTGCTAAGTTGGGTAGGCTGGATTTGAATTTGCTATCCTCCCAGGTCAGCCTCCTGAGTGGTTGGCAATCACAGGTGTGTGCCAGTTAAGTTAAGTACACCCAGCTCAACTTCTTACATAAGCCAGTATATTTGTCCAGACTAAAAAATTAATGTTGGTAGATTATTTGAATTTAACTCTATACTTTGTTTTGGTTTCACTAGTTTTTCCATGAACATGTTTCTTTTTTTTTTTTTTTTCTGCTCCAGGATTCAATCCAGGATTCCACAATGCATTTAGCAGATTCACTTAATATTTTTTCATCACCAATGATTAAAAATAATATTGTGTGATCATGCCCATAAGCACTGTACTCATCTTTGTATATTCAGCTAAATTACTTTTATCTTCAGGCAGAAAATTCTCTCAAAGTAGTTTTATGCTAAAAATCATGTCTTCCATACCCCTCAACGATTAATTTGACAATCTTTCTACTGAATATCAGCGTTTGCTCCCAATGACTCCAGCAGAGAATGCTGGGAATCCTGCTCATCCAGGTCCTTCGTTTCTGATTTGATCATCATTTTATTATGATGCTTCTGCTATTATTTTCTCTTTTCAGTTTGAGACTTTGTTTGCTGATTGGTTTATTTCTGGACAGGGCCAGGACTAGAGTGAAGGAAGTGAGGTGCACAGTTTAAGGAGACACTCAGTCTCACAGTCAAGCAAGTACAAGTTGGTATTTGCTGAGTGAGTGCCCATAAATTTTGTACCCTGGGCACCTCACTTGTTTCATGTTAGTCTCTGCTATGTTCCCGGGTTTCAGAGCATAAGGTGTTACTGATTTACAGGTCTTGTCATTTTCTTTCCTACCACCTACCTCCTCCCTTTCACTCTTTTTGTTACACATAACATCTGATATAATATTTTACTTTTCTCTCATAACTGTGGTCCTGAACCATAACCTTCTGCTTATTTCTCCAGCTATGTGTCAGATATTAGTCAAAATTCCAGAAAGTCTTGGGTTTCTGCTTTGTTCCCATATTACATTTCCTTGTGGAGGGCAGATCTTAAAGGGATTTTTCTGAGTAGAAGAGTATAGGTCTCCACGTAATTGTGTATTTGTATGCATAGTCTGCAATTTAAATTTTGCACTAAGTGCTGGGAAGAAAGAGCTTGTTTTAAAGCTTGTTTCAAGCTGTTAGAACTTCTTCTGGGCAATTAGAATAATGAAATGCAATTTAATACTTTTCTCCTTCCAAGTTGCCAGGTAGATTTATAAGCCACATGGTTTTCCCTGAGTGGGGGAGTAAGTAAACTCAGGACGGCAGTGGTGAAAATATACTAAAATGTTAATATTTAGAAGGAAGTAAATTATGATAATCTTCTTCCCAAGATTCATTCAGGAACACCAACGGATTTTTTCTATACTTTTGACTTCCTGAGCAAAGGATAGCGATGCTCAGTAGATGAGGTAGAATTGCTTCGTTGGTAGCATTTTTAGGGCATTACAGAGAACAGTTTGTGGTTTCTACAGTGAGGTAGCAACTCCTAGGAGAATGCTAACAGCCACCATAAAAGAACACAGAGCCTTGACTGCAAGGAACACAGTGGTTGCCTGCACACCAGTTAAGACGCTAACTTGGGGGTTCAGCGAGGGCTTGTGTCTGGCATATACACAGACCTCAAGTCACTAAACAGAAATAAAGACTACAGGGAAGAAATTCTTGGAAACCCATGTTTTAGAGAGCTGTGTGAAAATATCTTCCAGCAGGCTCCCCAGATTGTGTGGATAAATTTAGACTGGTCTTAGGTTTAGAGTTTCCAAAGAGAGAGAAAACCTCAGGGTAAAACAAAACTGCCTCGGCTGGTGAACTCCCTGGGCTACAGGTCAGTATTAGCTTGAAATCATAGGATGACGGTCATGGCAGGAGGTCTGACTGCTCACACATGTGTGGGATAAGTGTTACCGAGTGTCTTCGCTTGAGCGTCCCCAAAAGCAGGCCCTGTAACAAGGACTTGAGTATCAAGTAGTAGTTTATAGGAACCTCTGGCAGAGGACTTGGGAAATAAGACAAAGAAGGGAAGGAAACTGATGAAGAATGTGTTACTAAGCTTGCTACTGTGAGCAGTAGGGCTCAGTTCCACTGTGGAATTCTGGGAGATAACAAAGAGCATGGCCGAATTATCTCTGACTAAGGGGGAAGGGAGAGAGACTTTTAATCAGCCATCTCACTATTTGTTATTGTTTGAGGACTGCTTCTAGGGGCATTAATCCCTCTGGGACTTAGGCTTGTCCTGTTACCGGGTTCTGGCCAGTGAGAGGCAGTTTTGGTAATAACTGATGAGCAGTGATACTGCAGAACAGGTGCAATGGCTTTTATTTTCCTGGTTGACTTAGAAGTCTGTCTATGTTCATTAGGGGACACTACTTTCCTTATATTGTAACAAAAATGCCTCCCCCAGCCAGTATACTTCAGTTTGTTAGTTGCCCAGGTAATAGTTCCTGTTCTAAGTTTGGTTGCTTCTAATCTCCTAGAAACAGCTGGCCACTGTGAGGCAGAGCTGGTCACTACGATATACATTGTATAAACCAATCCCCAGTTGACAAGCTATTCTGCCTCTGTACTTCCTGCTTGCTCATCCCATATAAGCCCTAGATCACCAGAGATCAGGGCCTGATATTCTGGGAATGATCCTGATCAGTACCCATTGATGTAAATAAACCTGCCTCCAAATCCTGTGTGTCATTTCACAGCTTTTTCTTGCTGTAGCAATATTACTGTGATCTGGTATTTTCAGAGCAACGGACTGTAAATCCAGGTGTTAAAGGCCAGACAAAGGAAAGACAATGCCTCAGATAAAGAAAAGACAATGCCTCAGATGTAGATGACCTTGTAGATAGCTAGATTGGAAGATCCTAAGAGCAGGAAGGGGGTTTTCTGTGGGTTAGGGTGCATGTGTTTAATTCTTTCTCTTTGCTAGCTCAGTAAGTACTCTTTAATGACAATGGAGAAACTTTCTATTGTTCCCGTCCGAGGGAGCAGGAGTAGTCACGTGAGCAGAGGTAGGTAGCAGCTGCCTATGTCCTTACGTGGCTGCTGTTCATCATGGCTTCCTCCACACAGAGCTGATTATCCTGCAAAGTCTTCCCTTGCCTCTTACAGACATCATGCAGATTCCTGATGTCAAGTTGTAGGCTCAGGAGCTTACTGTTCAGGCTGCCCACTTCTCTGTCTCTCTCCCCCACCTAAGCAGCCGGAGAAACAAAAGCATCAATTACAAACTCGCATGAAAATGCTTACTTTCCTTCACTTAACAGGTTGACAGGGACTTTAAATTTGCTGGAAATTTGTCCATCAAGTCGTTGCTATGATTACTCATCCTGTGTAACATTTACACAGTATCCATTTGTGAGGTGTCTGAGTGCTGTACATTATTCAGACAATTACTTATTTATATTAATTAATCTTCACAGCACTGCTGTGGGTGCATCAGACAATTCCCTTATTTTTCAAGAGGAAGTCAGTGTCTAGAATAATTCCAGGCACCCAGTGAACAGTCTGTAAATATTAATGGCTCTGCCACTGATAAAACGAACATTGACGTGTCAAATGAACTTGTCAAGACTGTGGTGAATGATTCAGTGATGGAGCTGATGTGGCATTCCGAAGTCTTTTTCTTTTTACTCATTAACCAAAATCTTCCTCACTTATAATACTTAGTGTTTTCTTTTGCAGGGGCTCACCAGGGGGAACAAAAGTGAAATCCCTGTGCTAAGCGGGTAAGGACCCTGTCTTTGGCTATGAGTGAAAGGGGTTAGCTAATTATTGCTAGGTCAGGATGGAAAGTGGTGACTGAGACGCACATAGAAGATGTGCAGCTTGGGTGGGGCGGTGGTGGGATGCAGAGATGGGGTAGATGAGTGGGTTCTTCATCACATCGTGAGGCTACTTTCACTCCCCATGTGGTGGGTGGCAAGTGTGAAAGGAATTAGGAAAAAGCCCTCCTTGAACCTAGGCGGTGCTTCAGTCCTATCACTCTGCTGGCTTTTCACTCACACTGAGCACAGGCGTTATCACCTCTGAGCTTTAGAGCCTGGGACTGAGGCTGAAGCATGTACGGGAGGTGCCCATCTCTGGTTAATATGCTTGGAAGTGACTTCTTATGTGAAGATTTATGACATCTATTAAAGAAACACTCCCAAGGGAAACCAAGAAGGAAGAAGGGGAATCAGGAAGGGAAGGAGAAGAAACCAAGCAATTTCAAAGTCCTGTGGGTCACTTTAGGCTGATCCTATAGAGACCTCCAGGGCGTAAGTTACACTGTAGAACCTGTCTTGAGGGATGGCAGGGAAAGCTGTGTTGTCAAATTTGGCAACAGCTGGTTCACAGCAGAGGGCTGCCCCGTGGAAGGCAATCTCCCAAGGACACCTTTTCTCCTATGGGCAAAGTGACCTTAATAATCTCAGAGCAATTCTTCTAAGAGGGCAGGCAGCGCTGGGTACCTAGAAATGGTGCAGGAACCTCAACCACAGTGCCCGAAGTCCCATATCTGGTTAGCAGTAGAGACAGGAAAGCGTATTCTTCTGACCATGTAGCCAGTATCCTACCCGCACATCTCATAGACTGGTCTGGGTTCTGAAATGCATGAGCTATAGCATACACATTTCCAAGAGAAGCAGAGACCTAATATGGACATTATAAGTTAAGCCTTATTGTATGGGTCAGTTTAAGAGACTTCTGCACAAGGCCAAGGGAGGGTCAGAGGACAATGTGAGAATCGGACACTGCAATGTTAGAATATTCGGAATTCAGAGGGTTTCCCAGAAGTGCTGCTGTCTCAGCTGATTTATTTCTTCATTTCCATTTAGTACCTGAGGTTTTTTTTTTTTTTAACACCACTTTACAGTTTAATTAGGTTAACGGCATGGCTCTATCATTAAAAGGATTTCATTATCTCAAAACTCTTCCCTCCTCCTCTCTTGCTTCTGCCCTCGTCCCTCACTTTCAGAAAAATAACAGTGGATGTCAACTGCCCCAAGCATGTAATTACCATTAAGACAATTACCAGGAACTCTCTTAAGAGAATCTGTGTAGAGTGGTTTTAAAAAATGATGTGCACACAATGTTTTCTAATTTGAAAACAAAATCCTTGACCCAATAAGGAGGAGCAGTTTGAGTCTAGTGCTTTTGATCCCTTTGCTCATTGCTGCCACATCGGGAATAGGGTATGAAGCCTTCCTGGGAATGGGGCAATAGGAATCCCCCCGCTATTCCCACCGCAGAACCATTTTCCTTTGGGATCTGTGAGCAAATTAGGTGATAGCACCATGCCTAGTACTCTGTACTCTTGCCTTGATGCTGAAAATATGTGTCTTAAAGTGAGGACCACATCACCAGACTTCTCCATGTGGAGCTTAGCACACTGAAGACTCACTAACAAAATGCCAATGATACGCAACTCTATCCTAAATTAACAGATATTTCCTCTCAGGCTAATAGAAATACCCCCTCTCTACAGTTTTAGATGCCCTTGGAGTAGGAGACCTACTAGCCCTATTCTTTTATACCGGCAGGACTTCAGAATTGGATCTTTGATGTAGATGATCTCATCTAATTTAGATATTTAGCTTTGACTCAGAGTCTCCGAGGAAATTTCTTCATTCATAAAGCTAGAGGTTGGGGATAAATTATCTTTCTTTGAAGATTCCCTAAACCAGTTGAATAACAAATGTGTTTTATTGGATAGCAAATGAAATTTGCTTTTAAAATAAAAACTTAACCATTTATTTCTAAAGATCAAATCATAAAGGGGTTTTGATGCACTAGAACAGGAGTAAAAATGCTTGAAGGGCAATAAAGTGATTTTCATGGACCATGCTCCATTTTTAACTATAGTTTTAAGAGGATGCTAGGCTCACCTCAGAACCCCAGAAAGGCAAGGTTTTCTGGGGTCAAGCAAGTCTCATTTGTTGCTAATATCTTGCATAAATATTAATCATGAGCTATTTATATTTCTAGCTAGTTTATGGATATTAAATTGCCGGCAGATGCCTTTTGAGTATCAATATGCAGTAGTAATAGATTTAATCTGACAGTTCATCACTCATATCTCTGTACCAATACTGGGGCATGAGATGAACTGGATGATGACCCTCAGGCACCATCTGATCCTTTCCTGGATCTGAAATCATTAGTGATGGTTGAAATAACAAGTTAGATACTGAGCTACCCAGTTTTTGCTTTATAAAGGCTGGAAGCTGGTCACACTGCTTAGAAGCATGTGACATCAGCCACGCCACTGACTCACAGGCAAAATGGTGAGTGTTAATTCTGCAGTTGCTAACATATTCATGATATTGGAAAATAGGTTACTTATTGAGGTAAATTTTCTGTATTGATTAAAGGGGTCTTTTGTCAAAGAGCATGCCTTCTCAAACATATTTCTTAAAAGAGGAGGAGAAATTTTGCTGTAGTCTTCAAAGTCTAAACAGGTAGTCTCATGCTTCTTTTTTAGGGGGAGGAAGCTGAGATTATATTTAAGCTTGTAATTCAGTAGCACTTTCAGAGTTCAAGAACATTACAAGATTCAAAGTGGTAACATTCCCAGAGATTTGGCACTTGAACAAGAAGCTTGGTGAAAATTGGGTGGTAATTTCCAGAGGAATTTTGGAGTCAACATCATTATAAAGGCCATCATCTTTTGGAAATTCCTTATCTGATGATGAGGACAAATCTCCAACAAACAATGGAAGGTCACTTTTAAACACCACAAATACCAGAACCATTCAACAGATATCAATTTATGGTGAGAGTTATGCTTTAAAAAGCAAGGAGCCTTTAAAAGGAATGTTGCTTCAGGAACTTTTACTTATGTAAAAATAGAGTTTACAGTTATGTATAGTAATTTTAAACTCTAATATTGATATTACTAACTAGATTCCTGAATTTACTTTTATGCTTATGGAAACACTGTGTTTTCCTGCATTACTTTTTTTTCCTTCCTTTTGAGACAGAGTCTTGCTATGCAGTTCAGGCTGGCCTTGAGCTCACTTTGTAGCCCAGGCTGGTCTCGAACTTGCAACGATCCTCCTGCCTCAGCCTCCCAAGTGCTGGCATTACAGGCATGTGCCACCACACCCAGCTTTTTGCATTGCTTATGATGGGAATTAATGGATAGCCGTACAAAATTTTGCCTGTAATAAGAAATTTTGGACCAATTATGTTAATATAGTGAAGAATAAGAATATTTTATTCTCATCTAATTTTTTACACATTGACACACTGTCTATGGTTTAGGGCACACACGGTCTATGTTAGATATCAGCTATCTATGTAATGTGGGCTGATTTTTGCTGGCACTTGGGCAATTGCTGCATACTTTTTGCCATCATATTCCTGGAGAAATTATCCCACTAGAAGATAAGTTCCAAGAGACTAGGGATTTTTATCTATTTTGTTTATCCTCAGCCTGATGTTTCCAGCTCTTAGAACAATGCCTAACATATCAAAGGTGTTCCAAAGAGATCAGTGATATGAAGAAATAGTCATCTAGAAAACTGACACCTGATCCTTGTTTCCTCCTACCCCCTAGGGCTCCAGTTACCCAGTAGAAAAGGGCAGAAATTCCTGGTTTAGAAGCTATTCACCTCTTGGTAGGAGCTACGTTAAAAATCATCCTAACCCAAACAAGTCCCTTCCATTCTTTCTGGAACAAGTCGGGGAATACATACACCATTTGACAAAAATATTAGACAAATCAAAACACTTCACATTCCATTTTACAGCATTCTAGATAAAAATAATGCTGTTGGCAACAAGAGTAAATATTCATTAGGTGCTTTTTACATGCAGTGTCTTATAATCCTCCTAATTAGTCTTTGAAATAGATGCTCATCAATCATATTTTGGGGAAAGATAAAGTATAGAAACAGTAAACAACATGCCCAATATCATTCTGCTAGTGGATATAGATCCAGACCAACTTAACTGGACTTGGACTTTTAAACATACTATGGTCTGCTGTCCTTTTCTGTCTGTAGTATTTTGTGCTGCTTCTACCTGCAATTCTGAGTCATGAAACTTGAAAAGAAGTCCCTTGTAACAAAGATTCAAATCCAGGTATGTGGACAAGTTAGGAGCCTTACCTCACCTTTCAGTCCCTGGGCAGCTCTCAATTCTTCTTTAAGCTTTAGCATTTTGTGAGCTTTGGTATAAACCTGAAAAAAGTCAAGTGTTTAAGATGGAAAAAGTATAAATGATTCTAGTCCTTTAAAGATTTTCCCAGCTGGATCTATGCCCTCAATGGGGGGGGGGGTTTGGAAATTTTTTCCAAACCGTTAGTAACACTAACCCTTTTCTTCATATGTTTATTTTCAAAGGTATAGTAAAACCTTCACCAGGGAGGCAGGAACCGTAGTTTTGACATCTCTTCCAGAAAACCACAACTTGGTAGACCAAGTAGTTTCTGTATTCAACCTCCTTGGAAGGGGAAAAGTCTGAAATGAGTTGACTTTCCGGATTTCTAAATGTTCTATGCCTCAGATAATTCACAGTTTACATTTTGCACATATTATGAACCATTCAGCATGTGCTTGACCCACTTTCATTCTTACAAAAACTCTGGGAGGCATGTACTGTACTGTCATTGTTTCACAGAGGGAGAAACAGTCCCAAGGAGACTGAGTGACTGATCCGAAGTCACCTAGGCTGTCTTACTACTCTGTGAAAATCTTCCATTCATTTTACAAGTATTAGTTTGAAATATGAAACAATATGATGTTCTTGAAGCATTAAATTGCCATAACATTAGTGCTTACAAAGTTAGGAAACCTTAAGAGGAATGAGAATTATCTAGATAAAATCTTCCAAGAAAAGCAAAGATTTTTGCACATGTATGAGTAAGTGTAGGATGATGCATCTGAAGTCATAATTTACTGAACTTATTACAATAATCTAATTCATTACGTTTGTAACTCTAAATCTAGAGGAAATTTCTACCCGGCACTCACCTGCAGAATATTTCCAAGAATGAGAAGCTATCAAAATACTCATTCTTTGTAATAAAGGAAGTATATCCCTCACTCTTAATATAAGCCAAGAGGAAGAAGAATCTTGGTGATACATGGAATTTGGAATGTTTCATGGAGCTGTATTCTGATATTCTGCACTGACTACACTCTTAAGTCTTTGTGCACAGAGGTGCATCATGGGAATGATATGAAGCTCAGACTTACCGGATAGGGATAGGCTATAGTGATGTTGCAGTAACAAACAACCTCCAAATCCCTTAAGGCTATGAAGGTTTATTTTTATTCATGCTATGTATCCTTTATGAGTCATCTGAGGCTCTGCTGTACATTGTCCTCAGCTGGTGGAACCTCTATTATCTGGTATGTTGTCTGTTGCCATGGCAGCTGAAAGAGATCTTGGTGAATTACATCATACTGGTTCTTAAAGTGGAAGTGAAACACTTCATTTCTCACATTTTGTTGGTCAAAACAAATTACATGGCCACACTTAACTTCCTTTGCCCTCCAGAGAAAAATAACGGTGAACATCACAAATGACTTCCACACTAAGCTAATTAAAAGATTAAAAATAAATGTGGCATAAAAAAGCACTAAACACGGCTCTGGGCTACCAAAGCCCTGATTCAGTAGCCAATTTGAAGAGTGTCCTGTGAGAAGGCCCTCACGTCTGAACCTTCATTTCTGTCTCTGGAAACCGTAGTAAGTGATCTCTAAGGTCTTCCTAGTTCTAAAGTTTACTGATTCTATGTTCTAAAAGATGGACACCATTTTTTAGTAGGAACTATAGACTCAATCTGAGCCTCTCACAAAAGTTGTAATGGGACAAATGTACCCTTGAGGAGAATAATTCTCTACCTACAGACCCACTGGGTATCCAGCAGGTGATTTTTAAATAAAATATTATCCAAAATGTAGAAAAGGGACTTTCTGGATTGTAATGGTTTCATGCACACAGCTATCATTGCAATGGCGAAGAGCATTTCAGATGGAAAGTAGAAGCACAGCTTCTAATATTTGCATGAAAATATATTGGGCTTTACTAAGTAAAATAAATTAGAGGAAAAGTAGAGAGCTGAGTTTTGTTCCATGAGGGAGACATAGGGATTCTGTGAGTCATTAGTAATAGCAGTGGGCACGTTGGAAGTGCTTATGGTGAAAAAATATGATAAATTTTTGATGCATTTGACAGTAATGTTTCCCAGATGGATTAGAGACAGAGCTTTGAGGGAGCCTTTCTGCTTTATGAAGCAATCGTGTGGACCCTCCTGATGCTTTCTGAGGAGTGTGGCTGGCTACTGATTCTCTGGGCCCAGGACTTCATTAATGTCATCTCTCTTTTCAAAGTCTTGCTCTTGCATCTTCTGTCTCCTGCATTTCTGCTGAGACCTTCACTTCTTTATGCCTCATCTGCTACATTAGCCCAGGGAGTTGCTTTCTTGTTCTCAAAAGTCCTGCCGTCTGCTTTTCAGAGTAGGCCCTCTTTTGGTGACATCTGTACCTGGAAAAAATAAAAAATGATCCTAAAGAAAAACTTGCTCAACTGAGTATCTAGTCATGTTTTATGTTTCCCCTCAGTTCACTCTCAGAGCACCTTACACATAGCCAAGAAACACCCAAGACTACCTCTCACATGGGTGATGAATGTAGCAGCCATGTACTGAGGTGTAAAAGAAAGTAACTATTTTTCTATCACTTAGCTTTTTTACTGAGCCTCATTTCCACCATGTGGTTGAATCACAATCTTAGTTATTGCTAAGAAAGTGCCATTATTTTCAGGTTAAACATAAATCAGTTTATGATTGCCTCAAGCTCTTTAAGACCTCTCTAAAATGTGTATAAATTATGGGGTCCTAGGTTGGATCTGGCATCAGGGGCATCTTCTAGTCCATGGTCATGGGTATCTCTCCTGGCTACAGTATGCTGAGACGCCTTTGTCATTGTAAATAGCCCACATATGCTGCACTTTTCTCATCATAAGGGCTTTTGTTTGGCTGGTCCTCCCTCACTCTTGGAAGTTTTTCCTCCATGTTCCTGATGCTAGCATATGTGTGTGGTTTCAGGTCCTCCCCTCTTAGACTTGTTCCACTGAAGTTCTATGTATTGCCTGGCAAGGTAGATAGGATGCTAGAATTTTGCTCAATTTATTGGTATTGATCAAAGTTCTTCTGGCTCTGGAAAGCTAAACCTATGCATTAATCTACCATTTTATTCCACTTTTTGCATCATCTTATATACTTCATCAGGGTCTAATTCTCCAGTTTAAGCTACAATTTCCCTACCTTTTTTTTTTTTTTCCTGTTTCAGATGGCCACTGTTTAGCTTTAGGGAGAGGAAGGAAAAAGGATAAAAGCAAGTTCCATGAAACACAGCTTGAGTGGGTCAGCATGGGAAACATATTAGTTAGTACTTCATTCACTATCCACATCAGGTTATACAAATGTGACGTTATACAATCAGTGAGCTGTGCCATACTCCCTGATTGATGAACAGGTAACTACCTGAGTATACGATTGACTGTTGGGCAACACTGGGGCAACACTGTCTATTCCTTTTCTTTCTTGACTTGCATAGAAGAGTACTAGGAATCATCTAAGTCACCTAAAACATGTTTCTGAATTTTTAGGGAAGGAGATGTTATTTAAAGAGCTCTCACTGGAGGTTAATTGAAACTAAGATTTACCTACACTCAGCCACAAGTCTGTACTTATACTGGGTTTTAGATTTTTCTCTAGTGTTTTACCTCCTACCAATGAAAAAATGTGATAAGTCCTAGAGCTCTTGATATTGAAATGATGAGAGGATAGTCAGCATTTCTTCTACTTTAACAATATGTGCGTACCAGTAGTGGACCAAGGTGCCCCTTTTATAGTAATCTTTTTCTACCCATAACAATTGGATGGAACCATTATGTCTAGGGCTTGGTAGGCAGACGGTATACCATTTGTAGACCTAGTTCTAAAGGAGAAAACTCCTTGTAGTGCATGTCTGGTGGATGAAGTGGTAGGAGGGAGTAGTACAAGGAGATGATGCTGGGTTTGCTAGATTTGGGGTCCTGTAAAGTAACTTAGGGAATAGAAATCTGATACAAGGTTAAGACTGGGTTATAGTCCAACCGTAGGGTAGAGGTTCTTCTTGAGACAATGTAAGGCAAATTGAATCTCCTCAGAAAGAGCCTTTGGGATGACAGATGAAATGAGGAGCTAGGGGAGCAAAAGGAGTACCATGATTTGTAGGACTCATTGTACTAGGTAAAATTTTTTCTTGGACCTATCTCTTTTGGTACCTTTTACAGAAGCTGCTAATTGATGTTCATACTCTTAACTTCTTTATGAAGAGATCTATAATTTCATTGGAGTATCTATGTATTCCAGTAAGTAGACTCTAAGTAGGCTATTCCAAATAGAAGACTACATCTACTGCCTCTCTTGGAGCTAGGTATGGCTGTGTGTCTAAGTTTGGTCAGTGAAATATAAGAAATATCTTGGAGACTTCCTGGAAATCTTAAAGTGCACTAGTACACAGATCTTTGTCCCTTCCCTCCTTCTTAATCGCTTGCAAGGTTCATTTAATAGCTGGTGCTCCAGCAGCCATTTGCAACAAGCCTTTAGAGATGTTGATGGAGATGCAGGAGGCCAGGTTATCCCAGCCCTGGACAGAAGGAGCAATTTCTGTCTTGTTTAAATCACTGTTTTCTTTTTATGCCTCATGCAGCTGAATTTAATGAAAATGAACAAAGTACCTTTATTTGTATTCCTCTCCGAGAGACCACTTTATGATTTATTCCCCATTTCTGAGAATTCTACTAGCTGCAAAATATACTGTAGACTGTATGTTTTGTACATTGTGGACAAAGTCTTTGACCTCTATAGATATTTTTCTCAAAGATGCCTTCCCTTTTTTGACTTGACTTGGTTTTTCTCCTGATTTGTCAGTTCTTTGCTTTCACTCCTTCTCCACTTGCTATGTAGAGTAGGAGGAGCCAGGGTGGGGAAGAGAGTAACACATCCAGCTTTTCTACTCCCACCACCATTATTCTCATGCCAATTAGTAAAATTTCCTTTTCAAAGTACGCACTCCATCTAATCATTGTTGCCACGATCATTGACTGACATGGAGAAAACTCTCCCCTTTCCTTGTTGAGTGATTTTCTTCATGAGGTATATTCTTTCTGCCTGTCAAAAACCACCCACGCCAGTAATCCCAGTACTCTGTGAGACTGAGGTAGGAAAACTGCAAGTTTGAGCCCAGCCTGGGCAGCTTAGTGACTTAGAGAGACTGTCCTTCAAAATAAAAAAAAGTTTAAAAAGGGATAAGATATAGCTTAGTGCAAAGGCTCTGGGTTCAGTCTTCAGTACCAGGAATAACAACAGTAACCACCGATGACAACAACAATAACAGCAACAACAACAACAGCATCACCTACTTTCCAGGTCCAACTCAAATCTCAGTTCTATCATTTTCTCTGTTACTGTCTGTAATATTAGTGCTTGTATGGCAGCTTCTATATGCCAGGCACTGTTCTAAGTATGAAAGAACACAGCTAGCTCTCACAGTGGACTTGCCAGGTAGGTGACACCTCTTTTCCACAACAACACTTTATCAGTACCAGTTTAAAATTTTCTTATTAGTATACATCGATATTTCTTGTACAGAGTTGGTACACATACATAACACATCTGAATTCCTTTTTTTTGTTCCCTTCTCCTCTTCGCCCTCCCTCCTCTCTCCATCTGTTGAACCCCTTCCTGTATGAGAAATAGCTCCTTCCCTACTTCCTGTTCTCTATCTTTTATTTTGCTCTTTATGTATAATTTGAGTTTATCATATGAGGAACCATGTAATTTTTAAGCTTGTGTGTCTGATTGATTTCACTTAACATTGTGGTCTCAAGGTGCATTCATTTTCCCACAAATGACTCATGTTATCTTTCTTTATGGCTTTTAACACAAACATCTAACTTTATTATTGATGTTGGTGATTTGTTTTTTCGCTTTAGTAAGGTAGTGGTGGTCTCCTATGAAAGAATAAGAACATGCAGAAAAGATGCAAAGATAGTACAAAGAGCTCCTATATAACATTTTTCTTATTTCCCCAGTGTTAGCATCTTACATAATGATATGAGGGTAACAACTAAGAAATTAACATGGGTCCAAAAAACTACTAACAAAGTCAAAGCCTTAATTAGAATGTCAAAAATTTTACCACTGGTATCTCTTTTCTGTTGTAGAATCTGATCCAGAAACACCTCACTGTTTTCTGTCTCTTCAGGTTCCTCCAATCTGTGATAGTTCCTCAGTCTTTCTTTGTCTTATATGACATGGCCATTTTTAAAGAATACTGGTCAGTTATTTTG